ATCACCTCTCAGCAAAGGATTCCCCCATGCAGTAAGAAGCCACAACTTGAAAACTGCTAGGCCATTCAATGCTAATTAAGGTGGACAATTGTAGACAAGAGACAAGAGTTCTTTCTCCCACCCTGGAAATCATTCCACAGATATATAAACCCCATTTTCCTAGTTTCCAGCAAAGGATTCCCCTAGGCAGTAAGAAGCCACAACTTGAAAACTGCTAGGCCATTCAATGCTAATCAAGGTGGACAATGGTAGACAAGAGACAAGAGTTCTTTCTCCTACCCTGGACATCATTCCTTGAAGCTGTAAGGCCATTCGATGCTAATCAAGGTGATCAGTTGCAACATGCACACTTTCTTCTAACAGACAAGAATTCTTCCTCCCATCCTAGACATTATTATATAAACCTCATTTTCCTAGCTGGCAGCAGACCTCAGAACCTTTGTTGGTGCCTGCCATAGATGCAGGCGAAATGTCAGGAGAGAATGCTTCTGGAACATGACCAGACAGCCCAGAGAACTCACAGCAACTCAATGCTTGATTTGATTGTGCTCCAGATGTTTGCAACTAAAACGGTGAACCATGGCTAACATAAACCATGGTTTAATGTGGCATACAGTAGCTTTTTTACACACAGCAGCCTTCACACTGGAGCTTCTTCTCACACTGAGGCCTTTCTCCCACTGAGGGCTCTCTCAGACTGGGGCCTTTCTCCCACTGAGGGCTCTCTCAGACACAGGCCTTTCTCCCACTGAGGGCTCTCTCAGACTGGGGCCTTTCTCCCACTGAGCGTTCTGAACCCCACCAACGACAGAATTGGGGCAAACTTCCCACACAGAACCCCCATGTCCAACAGAAAATACTTAAGGCCATCTGAGCGTTCTGAACCCCACCAATGACTGGAGCTTCTTCTCACACTGAAGCCTACCTCAAACTGGGGCCTTTCTCCCACTGAGCGCTCTCTCAGACTGGGGCCTTTCTCCCACTGAGGGCTCTCTCAGACTGAGGCCTTTCTCCCACTGAGGGCTCTCTCAGACTGGGGCCTTTCTCCCACTGAGGGCTCTCTCAGACTGGGGCCTTTCTCCCACTGAGGGCTCTCTCAGACTGGGGCCTTTCTCCCACTGAGGGCTCTCTCAGACTGGGGCCTTTCTCCCACTGAGGGCTCTCTCAGACTGGGGCCTTTCTCCTACTGAGGGCTCTCTCAGACTGGGGCCTTTCTCCCACTGAGGGCTCTCTCAGACTGGGCCTTTCTCCCACTGAGGCGAACAGATATATCCAGTGTGTCAGATCATTGCAAACTATTTCCCCAAAATAATAACCTGGGATCAATTTACCTTCCGGAGTGACTTTTTTTGCAATAGGTTGCACAAAAGAGTTTGATCTGATTTCCTCCTCCCAAAAAATCTTTCTTCTCCAAACACTGATTTAAGCCAGGTTTTGAATCTGCTTTATCAAATTGTCAGCTCCAAGTGAAGCTCAGTTTTTCAGCAGCCGCCACTTGTGCATCAAGGAACGTTCCCATCTTCTCTCGGATTAAGTGTGAGCCGGGATGTGGTGCTGTCGCATCTTATCATGGGGATTTGCAGCTGATTCTAGCAGGGTCTTTGGAAGGTAGGACAGAATATTGTATTTCCAGAAAACTGACAGAACATCCTTGCTTATGTGACAGGAGCTTAGCGGCAGCTAATGTACTTGGTTGATGTATTTTTGGAGACCAAACTTGTCTTCTACATTCTCCAGAACTGTCTCAGCAGCCATCACACTCTTTTGAGAGAGGCTCAAACAGAAATGGAAGCAAGCCACCCATTTCTAATATGGTCACTCATTTGCTTTAAGATTTAATTTCATTATGCCTCTGTTGTAGTCTAGCTTGGCTATGGCTCTGGAATTTGAGTCTGGTTTCAGTCTCTTAGCATATGCAAAAGTAAGAGCTGGTTTTGTATTATAGGATAACTAGCTGTCCCCTGCCACGCGTTGCTGTGGCCCACATGGGGGTTCTGTGTGGGAGGCTTGGCCCAATTCTATCGTTGGTGGGTTCAGAATGCTCTGTGATTGTAGGTGAACTATAAATCCCAGCAACTACAACTCCCAAATGTCAAGGTCTATTTTCCCCAAACTCCACCAGTGTTCACATTTGGGCATATTGAGTATTCGTGGCAAGTTTGGTCCAGATCCATGATTCCACAGTTCTCTCTGGATGTAGGTGAACTACAACTCCAAAACCAAAGGACACTGCCCACCAAACCCTTCCAGTATTTTCTGTTGGTCATGGGAGAACTGTGTGCCAAGTTTGGTTCAATTTAATCGTTGGTGGGGTTCAGAATGCTCTTTGATTGTAGGTGAACTATAAATCCCAGCAACTACAATTCCCAAATGACAAAATCATGTTTTTGAGTGAAGGACATACATTGGGTTGTTAGGTGTCTTGTGTCCAAATTTGGTGTCAATTCGTCCAGTGGTTTTTGAGTTGTGTTAATCCCACAAACGAACATTACATTTTTATTTATCTAGATGGTTTATCATGTTGGGTGAGTGGGCTTATTAGCAAAAATCCCTCCACATAAAGCTACAGCAGAGTAACTTATTAGCAGCTGTGTGACCCAGCGCCAGTAGCCAAAGTGATAAACAACAAAAACACACAGACCAATGTTACCTCTTCCGTAGCAAAATAATATGGTTGTACTATTTACAAGAACAAGGTTTCTTCATACTTCCTTCTTTGCTTCCACGCTGGGCTTCTTTCTCATGCAGATAAACAGCTTCGCTCTCACAGAGCCTCTTCTCACACCGAAGTTACACAGCAGCCTTCACACTGGAGCTTCTTCTCACACTAAGGCATTCTCCTACTGAGGCCTACTAACACTGAGGCCTGTCTCCCACTGAGAGCTCTCTCAGACTGGAGCCTTTCTCCCACTGAGGCAAACTAACACTAGAATCATAGAGTTGGAAGAGACCCCATGGGCCATCCAGGCCAAGAAGCCGGAAAATCGCATTCAAAGCACCCCTGACAGATGGCCATCCAGCCTTTGTTTCAAAGCCTCCAAAGAAGGAGCCTCCACCACACTCTGGGGCAGAGAGTTCCACTGCTGAACAGCTCTCAGCTGTTTGACTAAAGTTCAGAATGCAGGAGCTGTGTTTGACTAAAGTTCAGAATGCAGGGATGCTCTAATTAACCCAATCCATATGAATATCCGGATTTCATTGAAACAGCCCCTTCTGTCGGAAACATCAAAAGCTTTGGAAAAATTAATCCAATTTTAATAACAAAAAAAATCTGGTTCTTTTAAATTCATTATCCACCCTGAGAAGCGCTTAATCATATTAACCTTCCTATAAAAGATGATTTATTAATCAAACTGTAAAGCCAAGATAAGAATTTTGACATAATAGTTAATTGTTCTAGTCATCTCCTGTAGGTAACTCCTGTAGGTAACTTTGTTTAATGGTGAAGGGGGGCGGGGCTGTCACTTATGCACGGATGGCATAAGAAACCTCCACAAATCCCTTGTACAAGAAAGATTGGTTTTTCCTTCCTCCTTCCCTTTCACCCTTTTGTCCTTGCTTCCTTCCCTCTTTCCTCACTTGAGTCCATGAAATCCAATAGCCATAATTGATAATATTGCTACATATATTTATAGTGTTATTACTATTGTTACACACTAAATAATCTTTCATTCTATTCATTCAACTGCAAAACTTTGTCGCTTAACCATTTGATCGCATTCATAGTTACATTTCAATCCTTTCACACTTATCACAATTACCACTACAGCCCATACATCAATCTCTCTTTACCTCCCTTCTTTACTTCCAATCTTTAGCAATCCCTTATTCATTTAACTGAAATCTTTATCAATCTCCTTTACTTCTCTTCCTTACAGTTCCACCTCATATTTTGCGTATTGTCATTACCTTATTTGCTCTAACTTCCTTAAATTACTCTACTGCATTCATGACCTTCCATTAATCTGTACCTTCCTTATATTCCTTCCTTACTTCCTTCCTTCATATCACAACTCACGACTTCTTAAAACTCAATAACACACACAAAAAATTCAAGATTACACTTCCTTCTCTTTTCCTCCCTCCCTCCTTCCCTCCCTCCCTCCCTTCTTCTCTTTTTCCTTCTCTTTTCTCCCTCCCTTCCTTCATTGCCTCCCTCTTTTCTACTTCCTTCTTTTTCCTTTCCTTCCCCCTTTTGTACTTCCTTCACTCTTTTTCTCTTCCCTCCTCCCTCCCTTTTTGCTTTCTTCCTTCCTTCCTTCCCTCCCTCACTCTTTTCCTTCCTTCTCTTTTTTTTTCTTTTCTCCCTCCCTTCCTTTTGTACCTCCCTCTTTCTTCTTCCCTCCTTCTTTCCTTTCCTTTCCTCCTTTTGTACTACCTTCCCTCTTTTCTCCTTCTTTCCTCCCTTCCTCCTCCCTTTTCCTCCTTCTTCTCTTCTCTCTTTTCCTTCTTCCTTTCTGTCCTCCTTTCCTTCCTTCCTTCCTTCCTTCCTCTCCTTCCTTCCTCCTTCCTTTTCCTTCTACTTTCTCCCTTCCTTCTCTTCCATTTTCCCTCTTCTCTTGCTTCCTTCCTTTTTTCATTCCTTCCTCCCTTTTGTTCCTTTCTTTCTTTCTTCTCCTTCTTTCCTTCCTTTCCCTCCTTCCCTTTTCATTCCTTCCTTTCTTTTCCTCCCTCCTCCTTTCTTCTCTTTCCTTCTCCTTTTCTCCTCCCTCTTTCTCTTCCCTTCCTTCCTTCCTTCCTTCCTTCTTCCTCCTTTGTCTTTCCTTCCTTCTCTCTTTCTCCTTTCCCTTTCCTTTTTTCTCTCAATGTTTTTTATAGGAACAGCCCAGCTGTTCTTTTGCTAGTTTTCTCTTATGCTCTCCATTGTATTTTTACATTCTTCTTCTTCTTCTTATTATTATTATTATTGTGCACAAAAATTGCTTTTTGTGCATATAAATAGAAAAAAGATGGGCGCATGCTGTTCTTAAACTTGCTTCCCTTTCCCTCTTCTTTTACAGTCAACAAGCACAAACCATGGATTGAAACGACGTACCACGGCATCATTACCGAAAACGACAACACAGTCCTGCTGGACCCGCCCTTGATAGCACTGGACAAGGATGCGCCTCTGCGTTTTGCAGGTACGCGGGTCTTGGTGTTGGTGTGGTCGTTCTTTCGTGCCTTGGAAAGCATGGCAATCAAAGAGCGCACTCCATTGAACCCATGGCCCTGAGTTTGCTGGACCTGCGCAGTGTTGTTGCAAATGTGGTCATAGGGTTGTCATAATTTGAAGCCTGCTTGATGGCAGCTGAACCACGAAATGGTTACGCCTGAATGTGAGTGTATTGTTTTCTGGAATCTGGATTTTTGTTCTCGGCGTTTCAAAATGTCACCTCTGTTGCTCTTGTAGAAACATTTCATGCTCATTCGTCCGGGCCTGGAAATATGGAGCGCGCCTTAAACTGCGATCCTCTTGACTCCCATTAGCATATGCTGAGCAGCAACAAAGCCCAGCTTTCTGTGCCCGTCGTTCTCACGGCGCTCAGAAAATGTATGTTTGGGTGGAATTCTTGGCTCTTTCTGTGGACTGGTGAATGGCCCAATGAGTGCCACACTTCAAAGCTGCTGAGGAATGCGACACGCTTGGCGTTTGCCCAGCGAAATGCCTGCTCCTCTCCTCCCCTTTTGCTGTGAAAATTGACCATGGAGAACCTGGGGTCCTAGAAGGCATGTTAATCCGTAATCAAACCTATCAATGTGGACGAGAGATTGTAAATGACGAAAGCATGGAGGAAATGTCACTGGTAGTAACGAACTGCTGTATCAGGTTTAACTTTGGTAAACTGCCTCAAGTGGGGTATAAACAAATACAGTGTTCCCTCACTTATCGCAGGTGTTATGTTCCAGGACCACCCGCAAAAAGTGAAAATCCACAAAGTAGGGATTATATATACAAATACACACACAGTGTTCCCTCGCTTATCGTGGGTGTTACGTTCCAGGGCTACCCGCAAAAAGTGAAAATCCACAAAGTAGGGATTAGATATACAAATACACACACAGTGTTCCCTCGCTTATCACGGGTGTTACGTTCCAGGACCACCCGCAAAAAGTGAAAATCCGCGAAGTAGGGATTGTATACACACACACACACACACACACAGTGTTCCCTCGCTTATCGTGGGTGTTACGTTCCAGGATGGCCTGCGAAAAGTGAAAATCCGCGAAGTAGGGGTTATACACACACAGAGTGTTCCCTCGCTTATTGCAGGTGTTATGTTCCAGGACCAACCACAAAAAGTGAAAATCCGCAAAGTAGGGATTATATACACACACAATTTTCCCTCGCTTATTGCGGGTGTTACGTTCCAGGACCAACCGCGAAAAGTGAAAATCCACGAAGTAGGGATTATACATACGCACAATGTTCCATCGCTTATTGCGGGTGTTACGTTCCAGGACCAACCACAAAAAGTGAAAATCCACAAAGTAGGGATTATACACACACACAATTTTCCCTCGCTTATTGCGGGTGTTACATTCCAGGACCAACCGCGAAAAGTGAAAATCCACGAAGTAGGGATTACACACACACAGTGTTCCCTCGCTTATCGCTGGTGTTATGTTTCAGGACCACCCGTGAAAAGTGAGAATACGCAAAGTAGGGATTATACACACACACGGTGTTCTTTCGCTTATCGCTGGTGTTATGTTTCAGGACCACCCGTGAAAAGTGAAAATCCGTGAAGTAGGGATTATACACACACACACACAGTGTTCCCTCGCTTATCGCGGGTGTTACATTCCAGTACTTCCTCATTCTTCTGCACGCTGCTGAAAAGTGAAAATCCGCGAAGTAGGGACGCTATATATGTATATACTGTCTGATGGTTTTAATTAGTTATAACTGTGATATTATATGGTAAATTTGTGTATTGTATAGTGTATTGTATGTTGTAATTGTTAGGCATCGAATTGTGCCTTTTGTAAGCCACCCTGAGCCCCCCCTAGGGGGTTGAGAAGGGCGGGGTAAAAGCGCTCCAAATAAATAAAATAAATAAATATCGCGTTCCGAGGATGAGGCAGAAGTGAGAGATTTAGAAGAACTGCGCAGCTCTTTTTTTCCTAGCGATATCTGCTTTGCTTTGCAATCTCTCTTGATTGGCTGCCTCTCTCCCAAGGGGGAGGGTGAAACCCCCTTCCATACTCCATCATTGCCGGGAGGTGGGATTAGAACGGGAACCATTCATAAACTGGGAGGCAAAAACCCGCGAAACAGCGAGTCCGCGAAAAGTAGCAAAGGAAGACTGTACAATAATCCCCACCCTCACCACCTGCTATGGCCTAAGAAATCCATTCTTCTGCCAAGTTGAATGTGACTTTCTAATCAAAGCCTCTGGGCTGTAATGAATGCTAAACAGATTTAATAGTTTAATATGCTATTAGAGTGTTTGAATTATTCCTGGTGCCTTCAAGTCACCTGTCAACTTGCGGCTATTTTGGAGAAATAATAATCTTCATCTGCACATTTTGTACAGAATTTTAGAACAGTTAGGCCTAAAGGCGCCAACCCCTACCTGATTTGAGAAACTATGCTGGGTCAGCCATGGTTAATACTTGGAATGGTGAGCAATGAATCCCAGGCACAGTTTTTGGAAGGATATCCGCTTCATCAGGTTTGCGGAAGGATGTTAGGCAGGTGCCCGGTGGACCTTTTTTTCTGGTGTGATGTCCCACTGTTGCATTACTGTATATACTCAAGTGTAAGCTGTCCCAAATATACGTTTATTTATTTATTTACAGTATTTATATTCCACCCTTCTCACCCCACAGGGGACTCAGGACGGATTACAATGCACATATATATGACATTTTAAACACAAATAGATAGATACAGAGGCATTTAATAACTTGCTTTATCCGGTTACATGAGGATATGCTCAATTTTGACCAGAACCTGCTTATGACACCCAAGTCCTTTGATGGAGTACTTCCTTATACATCTGCATGCTGCTGGAAGGTTTTATGGCATCGTAAATTAGTTAAATTAGCCTCCTCACACAAAACAGTACCTAAATTTCCTACTTGAAAGACACAGAGGCAATTTAACATGCCAGCTTTCCGGCTTCATGAGGACATGCTCAGTTCCGGCCACAGGGGAGCTGTCACTTCATCGTCCACTTGTGCCACCGATTCCTTGATGGAGCACTTCCTCATTCTTAGGCACGCTGCTGGAAGATTTGATGGCGTCGAAAATTAGTTAAATTAAGCCCCCCCCCCCCGTCATTTCCTACTTGACAGATACAACTGTGTATTGTCGAAGGCTTTTATGGCCGGAATCACTGGGTTGTTGTAGGTTTTTTCAGGCAATATGGCCATGTTCTAGAGGCATTCTCTCCTGACGTTTCGCCTGCATCTATGGCAAAACAGCAGAGAGGAAACAATCTGGGACACCTAATCATCTCTCAACAAAAGATTGCCCCAGGCACTGCCAGGCCATCAAATGCTAATAAAGGTGGTCAGTTGAAACATTCACACCTAACTCCAGCAGACGAGAGTCCTTTGTCCCACCCTGGTCATTCCACAGATATATAAACCTATTTTCCTAGTTCCAACAGACCTCACTACCTCTGAGGATGCTTGCCATAGATGCAGGTGAAACGTCAGGAGAGAATGCCTCTAGAACATGGCCATATAGCCCGAAAAAATCTACAACAACCCAGATACAACTGTGTTTCGGGCTCTATAGGTAGACAGCAAGCTAGACTATTAATGGTCGGGAGCTTGCTCCGACCCAGGCTGGCTTCAAACTCATGACCTCTCAGTCAGTACAGTGTTCCCTCGCTACTTCGCACGTTGCATAAGTCACATTGACCGACCGTCTGCGCAAGTTTCCATACTTTGCACTTTAACAACACAACCGTCCAATGCTAAGGATTCCCGCCAAGATGGAACTGTAGAGGAGAGTCTACTGAACAAGGCAGAACATGCCGCATACCAGTACTGCCATCTGTTGAGGAGTTACGAAGGCGGAGGTAGGGATGATGTACATAATACATCATTCCTACTTTGCGGATTTTCACTTTTTGCGGGTGGTCCACCCACGATGAATGAGGGAACATTGTACCTTGGCTTATATTTGGGTCATCTCGTACTCGAATATATACGGTACATTTTGAAGGGGATCTCACGTGTTTCTCAACTTGAAACTGGAGGGTGGGTCGGGGAGAAGGAGAAAGCTATATTCCATTGCCATCCAAAAGTATTCTATGAAAAGTCTACGATCTCTGACCTTTTCCTGATTTGCTCCCTTCTCGATCTTTCCTGTAATACTGACTCGGGTTTATCTTTTCTCCCTTTAGAGAGTTTTGAGGTGACAGTCACCAAAGAAGGTGATGAAGGGTTCTTTCTATCCCCCCTTTTTTATGAATATTATTAACCCACTAACTTTGGTTATGAAATGGGGAATCAGCACTTAAGCAGAAGATCCTGTCATATTATACCTCTTGACCCCATTTTATCTCCCCGGTTTTTTTTCCCCTCCCTTCACCCTACCCTTCTCTCAAAAGATATGGATAGAGGAAAAAATGTTATGTAATCAGCCCTTGGCTAGAAATATCGGTAAGTCAGGCATCCATTTGAACTGTGCAGCATTGCTCTTTATTTAGACTGGCCCTTAAATCTCTCTCGCTCTCGCTCTCTCTGTGGCATTCTGTCTGGTAGCGTTGTGTTATGACGTGGCGTATTAGTCATGTTGTGATTATGAGTAATCCCTCCCCTCGCAATTCGCAGCACAGATTCTGGACTCTGATCTCATGAAAGGTTATGGCTCAGCGCAGATGTAGTATTCCCAGTCCCTTTTAGAGCTAACCCTGATGCAGAAACTGGATGTCTACTTCTGTCTCCACTAACCGTGGTTGGTTTCCACCCATATCATCAACTCATTCTGCGTCGTGTTTAGCTCCCAAAAAAGCAGATGATGTTGGGAAAAATGTAGGATCATATGGGACCTGTGGTTCATGGACCACCAGTGGTCTGAATCTACACCAGTGGTCCATGGACCACCAGTGGTCTGCAAGAATGAAAATATGGCCTGCGGCCTCACCGTTGACTCGAAAATATTTGGCAAAGAGAGCGACTGGTCTCGCAAAATGGGGATGTCAGCAGGGAGGAGGCTGACTATCACAAAAGATTACTGCTACCACATCAGCTCTAGATTATTAAATATGGTTTTCTGTGGGTGAGCAGATGGTGACTACATGTGGCATATGCTCTGTGTCAGAAACTAGAGCTGATGTGGTCAATCCAATGCAGTCAAAGTCGAGATGGCCTCTGTGTTAGTTGGCCTCAGTGTGAGAGAGGCGTCAATGGGAAAAAAACCTCAGTGTGAGGTAGGCTTCAGTGTCCCTATTAAGTGGTCCCTGGTCAAAGTGGTCCCTGCTCAAGTGGTCCCTGGTCAAAGTGGTCCCTGGTCAAGTTGTTCATGGTCAAGTGGTCCCTGTTTGGGTGGTTCCTGTTCAAGGGGTCCCTGGACAAAGTAGTCCCTGGTCTAGTGGTCCCTGGTGTAGTGCTCCTTGGTCAAAGTGATCCCTGGTCAAAGTGGTCCCTGGTCAAAGTGGTTCCTGCTCTAGTGGTCCCTGGTTAAAGTGGTTTCCTGGTTAAGTGGTCCCTGTTCAAGTTGTCCCTGGTCACAGTGGTCCCTGGTCAAGTGTTCTCTGGTCAAAGTGGTCCTTGTTCAAGTGGTCCCTGGTCCAAGTGGTCCCTGTTTGGGTGGTCCCTGGTCAAAGTGGTCCCTGTCAAGTTGTTCATGGTCAAGTGGTCCCTGGTCAAAGTGGTTCCTGTTCAAGAGGTCCCTGGACAAAGTGCTCCTTGGTCAAAGTGATCCCTGGTCAAAGTAGTCCCTGGTGTAGTGCTCCTTGGTCAAAGTGATCCCTGGTCAAAGTGGTTCCTGGTCAAGTGCTCTCTGGTCAAAGTGGTCCTTGTTCAAGTGGTCCCTGGTCAAGTGGACCCTGGTCAAAAAATGGTTGGTAACCACTGATACAAGATCTCATAAACCATGGTTAAAAGACTGATGTTGTGTGTGTTTGCACCAGGTCTATTAATCCCTTCTATATTTGTTAAGGTTGTAGTAGTGTTGACATATAATCTAGCAGATTGAGCGAGAGAGTGTAGAGGAAAGCTCAGATTTAATACAGGTAGGACCAGGTTAGTTGGAAGCTGTTGAAATGGATGCCTGGAAAGTTGATATTTCTACCATTTCCATTCAGTAATTCATTTTGATTCCTTGGCTCTATATATTTTTTTTTCAAAGTCAGGTACATTGCACAGGAAGACTTTGTCTTTTTGACAATTGACAGAATTTTTGTGAATTATAGTGCTGAATCTTCGACATATGTATATATATATATTTCTATATATTTCTATAACTACCTCGAAGCTTTGTTTCTATCTCTTTTTCGCCCCCCACGACTTTTGTAACTGTGCCTATTTAACCTCCTGCTGTGGTCAAAAGACCAAACCAGTTGCCCAGCTATTTCCCAGTAGCTTGGCCTAGACGAGACTCTTCCGTGGCCTTGGCTGTGCATCCTCCTAAGACCTCTCCTCTTTTTGGCCCTCGAGTTTCTCAAGTACTCCTGTGAAATGCCTGTCTACATCTCTCTTTCTCTCTCTTCCTCTCTTTTGTGTTCCTGCATGAGTGGATGCAACGTCAACCCAATTGCTTGGGAAGCCAAAATGTATGCCTTTTGAGTTTTATTTTTTTTGTCAAAAAATAAACTACAACTCCCAAAACTCACCCATCTTTTCAAGCACAGCGCCTTTTTTTGCTTTGTCCACAGACCCTCACAAACCCCCTTGGCTGCAGATCCGTTGAATGATGTTTCCTTTCTTTATTTGATCCTCTCTCGCACACACATGAAACACATCAAGGTACATGTGTACAGACATGTTGTCTTGTTCCTAAAAGTCCCTAACAGCTCTTACTTTGCATCTCTTAGGTGAGATTTGTGGATTTAAGATCCACGGGCAAAATGTCCCTTTTGAGGCCGTGGTGGTGGACAAGTCCACAGGCGAAGGGATGATCCGGTCCAAAGAGAAGCTGGACTGCGAGCTGCAGAAAGACTACACCTTCACCATCCAAGCCTACGACTGCGGAAAGGGGCCAGATGGAGCCAACATGAAGAAATCCCACAAGTAAGGGCCACGTGGGTGGCAGGAAAAGGAAGTCTCGGTTAAGCGGTGGGGATGTGGTTTCTCCTTATTGCTCTTCTTTCCAAATGAAATGGAAACCAGGTGGTGGGGGGTTTGACAATCCAAGTGGAGCAGGATGACAGAAGGGAAAGCACTGTATATATATAATAAAAGTCGAGAAGGCCTCTGTGTTAGTTGGCCTCAGTGTGAGAGAGGCATCAATGGGAAAAAGCATGAGGTAGGCCTGCTGTGTGAGAAGCTTTGGTGAGAGGACCCCCAGGTTGAAGGCCATCGTATGTGAAGGCTATATATATATACATATATCTATATATATAATAAAAGTCAAGAAGGCCTCTGTGTTAGTTGGCCTCAGTGTGAGAGAGGCGTAAATGGGAAAAAACCCACAGTGTGAGGTAGAGTTCAGTGTAGTAGGCCTTGGTGTGAGTAGCCCTGGTGTGTGAGAAGCTTCGGTGAGAGGAGCCCCAAGTTGAAGGCCGTCGTGTGTGAAGGAGATATATATACACACACACACACACACACCTCTATATATAATAAAAGTCGAGAAGGCCTTTGTGTTAGTTGGCCTCAGTGTGAGAGAGGTGTCAATGGGAAATGACAGCGTGAGGTAGACTTCAGTGTAATAGGCCTTGGTGTGAGTAGGCCTGGTGTTTGAGAAGCTTTGATGAGAGGAGCCCCAGGTTGAAGGCCATCGTGTGTGAAGGCTATATATATATATATATATATATATATATATATATATATATATATACACACACATACATACATACATACATATCTATCTCTCTATAAAGAATAAAAGTTGAGAAGGCCTCTGTGTTAGTTGGCCTCAGTGTGAGAGAGGCATCACTCTGAGAGAACCCTCAGTGTGAGGTAGGCTTCAGTGTAGTAGGCCTTTGTGTGAGTAGGCCTGGTGTTTGAGAAGCTTTGGTGAGAGGAGCCCCAAGTTGAAGGCCATTGTGTGTGAAGGATATACACACATGCACACACACTAGCTTGGGGACCCGGCGGTGCCAGGGTTATTTAAGAAAGACGTTTGTCTAGATCCAAATTGAAGCTCTGGATGTAGTCATTTTTGCCCATTGAGGGCTCTCTCAGAGTGATGCCTCGCTCACACTGAGGCCCACTAACACGGAGGTCTTCTCATACTTGATTTAGGCGATCCCTCATAACTCGAGGATGATGGTCCTTTAAGGTTAGCTGGGAATTGACCTTGAGCTTGTGAGTTGTAGTTCACCTACATCTAGAGAGCACTGTGGACTCAAACAATGGTGGATCTGGACCAAACTTGGCATGGGTATTCAATATGCTCAAATGTGAACAGTGGTTGAGTTTGAGGGAAACAGACCTTGAGATTTGAGTAACTGCTGGAATTTATAGTTCACCTACAATCAAAGAGCACTCTGAACCCCACCAATGATAGAATTGGGCCAAACTTCCCACACAGAACCCCCATAACCAACAGAAAGTACTGTGTTTTCTGATGGTCTTTGGTGACCCCTCTGACACCTCCTCATGACCCCCCCCCAGGGGTCCCGACCCCCAGGTTGAGAAACACTGATGTAGCCCAACCTTGCCAATGTCCTCCACAAATACCATACTAACAACCGCCCAAGGAAAGCCTTCTTCGGGGACAATTTCATGTATGTGTTTCCTCCACCACAGACACCCCAGTGTTTCTGACTCTCTCCATTGGCGTGGAATTTGCATCTCCCTTATTCCTATTCTTTTCTATGGCATACAGCAAATAGAGAGGAATTGATCAGTAACTGAATGGACTAGAGAGGTTTGGGGTGAATTCACCATGATTTATAGGAGTTGTAGGTCCTGGGATGTATAGTTCACCTGCACTCTGAACTCCACCAATGATGGGCCAGGAACTAACTTGTTACACAGAACCCCCATGACCAATTAAACATACTGGAGATCTTTGGGGAAAATTCACCTTGATTTGGGAGAGTTGTAGTTCACCTACATCCCTAGTAGATGTATAAATACACATACAGGGACCATGTTATCATGCGTGCAAAGATGAGAAAGGACAAATGCTCAAGGGAAGGAATGTGAAAGGAAAGGAAAGAAGTCCATAGATGACGTCCGTGGAGGAGGAGGGCGAGACAGAAGGAAGCCCCACTCTATCTGGCTTACAGACAAAGCTCAGGCAAAAGAGGTCACCCATGCGAGAGGGGTTTACGGCCTAAGCTGGCACCGCGTTGCCTGGCTTGGACTCAGCAAAATCCCTGCTCACGTGCCCCTGTTGAAAGTGGGCGTCTGGGTGACTAGTCTGAGAGACGGATGATGCGGAACCCCAAAGCCCATCATCCTGCTCTCTCTTTTTGTTGAAAGCACTGGTTCCCAACCTTCCCAATGCCGCGACCCCTTAATACAGTTCCTCATGTTGTGGTGACCCTCAACCATAACATTATTTTTGTTGCTACTTCAAAACTGTTATAAATCATAATGCAAATATCTGATATACAGGATATATTTTAATTCCCTGGACGAAATTTGGCACAAATACTTGATACGCTCCAATTTAAATACTGGTGGGGTTGATTTCGTTATTTGGGAGTTGTAGATGCTGGGATTTATAATTCAGCTACAATCAAACAGCATTCTGAACTCCACCAAGGATAGAATTGAACCAAACTTCCCACACAGAACTCCCACAACCAAAAGAAAACATTGGAAGGATTTGGTGACTTTGAGGTTTGGAATTGTAGTTCACCGACATCCAGAGAGCACAGTGGACTCAAACAATGATGGATCTGGACCAAACTTTGCATGAATACTCAATATGCCCAAATGTGAACACTGGTGGAGTTTTGGGGGAAATAGACCTTGACATTTGGGAGTTGTAGTTGCTGGGATTTATACTTCACCTACAGTCTAAGAGCATTCTGAACTCCACCAACGATTGAATAGAACCAAACTTAGCACACAGAACTCCAATGACCAACAGAAAATACTGCAGAGATTTTGGAGGAATTGATGATTATTTAGAGGAGAGCATCCCTCTCCCCTCCCTGCTTAGAGTCTCATAAACAGACCTCTCTTTGGCTGAGATGCCAGCCAATCATAGCAGAGGAGGACTATGCCTTGAAGGGACACGGCGACACGAGCCTCCTTCCAGCCTCGCACACTCTCCCTCACCTTCACACCACGCTGCCATGTGCTGAGCACGCCTGCTCTCCCCTTGAAACTTGGAGTCTCAGAAACAGCCCTCCCATTGGCCGAGGGGCCGGCCAGTCACAGCGGAGGAGGTCTATACCTTGAAGGGATACGCTGGCACGAACCTCCCTCCAGCCTTGCATGCTCTCCCTCACCTTCACATGCACACCACGCGGACATGCATCCAGCATACCTGCTCTCCCCTCCTTGCTTGGAGTGTCAGAAACAGCCCTCTCCTTGGCTGAGAGGCCAGTCAATCACAGAAGAGGAGGGCTATGCCTTGAAGGAACATGTTGGCACACACCTCCCTCCAGCCTTGTATGCTCTCCCTCACCTTCACATGCACACCATGCTGCCACGCACCCAGCATACTTGCTTTCCCCTCCTTGCTTGGAGCCTCAGAAACAGCTCTCCTCTTGGTTGAGAGGCCAGTCAATCACTGAAGAGGAGGACTATGCCTTGAAGGAACATGTTGGCACACACCTCCCTCCAGCCTTGCATGCTCTCCGCTTACAGATGCACACCACGCTGCCATGCACTCAGCATACCTGCTCTCCCCTCCTTGTTTGGAGTCTCAGAAACAGTCCTCCTCTCGGCTGAGAGGCCAGTCAATCACTGAAGAGGAGGGCTATGCCTTGAAAGAACACGTTGGCACGAACCTCCCTCCAGCCTTGCATGCTTTCCGCCTACAGATGCACACCACACTGCCATGCACTCAGCATACCTGCTCTCCCCTCCTTGCTTGGTGTCTCAGAAACAGCTCTCCTCTTGGCTGAGAGGCCAGTCAATCACTGAAGAAGAGGACTATACCTTGCAGGAACACGTCACACACCTCCCTCCAGCCTTGCATGCTCTCTCTCACCTTCACATGCAACCAGCACGCCTGCTCTCCCCTCCCTGCTTGGAGTCTCAGAAACAGCCCTCCACTTGGCTGAGAGGCCAGCCAATCATAGCAGAGGAGGGCTATGCCTTGAAGGGACACGCTGCCACGAGCCTCTCTCCAGCCTTGCATGCTCTCCCTCGCCTTCTGTTTCCAAAAAGGAAGAGAAGGATTGGTGGAGAGATCTTCAGTCTTCTCTGCCAAAGGGGTTCCTAAGACCATCAAAAACGTGTTTTCTGATGGTCTTTGGCGACCCCTCTGAAATCCCCTCATGACCTCCCCCCCAGAGGCCTGGACCCCCAGGTTGAGAAACACTGCTGTATACCTTATTCAGTGAAGCCATTGTGTTTCTGGACATTACTACTGTAACAGAAAATTGGGTCCCGAAGATAGAAATGGCATTGAAAAAAGCATCGTCTATTGACAGTCGGGAAGTGAATGATGGCTCCGAGAAATACAGAATATGTAATGGTTTTCTTTTTTCCTGTGCTCTTTCATTTACGAAAATGTGCTTTTAGCTGGAAACAGGAACTGGCCTGTGAAATCAATCGATGTTTTGGAAGAACAAAACCAGGTTGCTTTCCAGAAAGTGTTTGCGTGTCCGATACGTGATCCTCCCTTGGCTATCTTTGATTTCCTTGCTCATCGAGAGCGTCTTTTGTATTTGAATAACCTCGAAATGCAAAAAGGGAAGAAGTCGCATATCTTGAGAGGGTTTTCTGCCGAAGATCAAGCGCTGTGGGTGGCATTGAAGTGTCACCCATTTCTCCTTTGACAGCTTGCCCTTCAGCTTAATACATCTTGAGTTGTAATAAAACATGCCTAATCCTGCTGACGGAGCCAATATAAAATCTTTATTTAGCTCGCATAATTCATGGCTTAATAAGATGTCATGTATAGCAGGAAAACTGAAATTCTGAATGTCACAGTCGATGTGGAAAACCAATGATGGAAAAGAGTTTGAAGCCAGACTGGGTCAGAGTGAGCTCCCAACCATTAATAGTCTAGCTTGCTTTGACCTATGCAGAGTGAAGAGAGAGGGGACCAGGGGACAGCTCCACCTTGTCTACTGCTATGTCATCAATTGGGAGTCCCTCCCCCCCTGATGACATAGCAGGAGACAAGGTGGAGCTGCCCCCCTGGTCCCCTCTCTCTTCACTCTGGGCCAAAGAAGACAATTGCATCTGTCAAGTCTTTATTTATTTATTTATTTACGGCATTTCTATGCCACCCTTCTCACCCCAAAGGGGACTCAGATATAATAATATAATATATTATTAGCATAGCACAATATTAGTATTATGTATTACTATATTGTACTATACCATTATATTGTAATACTATTAGTACTATTACATGTAATATAAAACATATAATTACAATATTGTATCATTATTATTAGTTTTACGTTATATTATAAATTAATATATGTATATTCAATATATATTATATTATTATTAGCATAGCACAGGAGACACGGTGGAGCTGTCTTCCTGGTCTCCTCTGTCTTCACTCTGGCCCAGAGAAGCAGTTGTTGCAGGGAGGAGGGGCTCCCAACTGATAACATAGAAAGGAGACAATGTGGAGCTGTTTTCCTGGTCCCCTCTCTTCACTCTGCCCCAGAGAAGCAGTTGGTGCTGGGGGGGGGGATCCCCAGTTATGAGAGACACAATGGAACTGTCTTCCTGGTACCCTCTCTCTTCACTCTGGCCCAGAGAAGCAGTTGGTGCTGGGGGGAGGGGCTCCTAACTGATGACATGGGCAGTAGACAAGATGGAGCTGTCTTCCTGGTCCCCTCTCTCTTCACTAGGAAATTTAGGTACCGCTTTATGTGGGGAGGCTAATTTAACTAATTTACAACAGCATAAGACCTTCCAGCAGTGTTCATAACAATGAGGAAGTACTCCATCAAGGACTCGATGTCACAAGTGAACGGTGAAGCGGACGCTCCCCCTGTGGCCGTAACTGAGCATACCCTCATGAAACTGGAAAAGCTGGAATGTTAAATTGCCTCTGTGTCTGTCTATATATGTTGTATACATGTTTGCCATGTATATGTTGCCGATTACAATGCACATATATATTGTAATCGGCCCTGAGTCCTCTGCGGGTTGAGAAGGGTGGAATAGATATACTGTAAATAAATAAATAAATAATTGTTTGAGTCCACAGTGCTCTCTGGATGTAGGTGAACTACAATTCCAAAACTCAAGGTCAATGCCCACCAAACCCTTCCAGTATTTTCTATTAGTTATGGGAGTTCTGTGTGCCAAGTTTGGTTCAATTCGCCATTTGGTTCTCTAACCCAGGAACTCAACAAAAAAGCTCCTGTTTTGAAGCAGATTTCCTATGAAGCAGATGAGGTGGCGAAATACCTTTTTCTTCTGAACAGTGTTCTTATACAATCATAGCTAGATGGGAATATACTGAAGATTGTATATTATTATTAAATGTGCCCTGAACATGCAGCAATAGCTTGGAGTCAGCTGAACATTTACTAAGGACCCCTTTTTCAACTCCAGGGCGACGGTGCACATCCAGGTGAACGACGTCAATGAGTACGCCCCAGTCTTCAAGGAGAAGTCCTACAAGGCCACTGTGATCGAAGGCAAGAGGTACGACAACATCCTGAAAGTGGAAGCCGTGGACGCCGATTGTTCCCCCCAGTTCAGCCAGATCTGCAGCTATGAAATCGTCACGCCGGACGTCCCCTTTACTATCGACAAAGACGGTAAGGAAGGACTTGACTTCTATACACCTTTGTTGCATCTGTGTATTTGGGTTGAAATATTCTTAGCCCACTCTTTTGCAATATATATAGAGAGAGGGTGGGGGGGGGGAGAGAGAGTGAACATTTCGCGGGTGGTCCTTGAACATAACACCGCGATAAGTGGGGGAAGACTTTACGCTCTAGGCCAGAGTGAAGAGAGAGGGGACCAGGGGAAAATTCCATCTTGTCTCCTGCATATGTCATCAGTTGAGGGCCCCTCCCGCCAGCACCAACAGCTGCTCTGGGCCAGAGTGATGAGAGAGGGGGCCAGGGGACAGTTCCATCTTGTCTCCTGTGCTGTGCTAATAATATAATATAACATAACATAACATAACATAACATAATAGTTATGTAAAGTATTGTATATACATATAATATTTATAATATTATAATGTAATACAATATAATAATAATAATAATATGATATTATAATTATATATTTTATATTACATGTAATATTACTAATAATATTACAATATAATCCTGCTTCTTGGCAGGGGGTTGGACTGGATGGCCCATGAGGTCTCTTCCAACTCTATGATTCTATAATGGTATAGTACAATATAGTAATATATAATACTGATATTGTACTCTGGTAATAATTTAATATATTCTCTGTGTGTGTGTGTGTGTGTATATATATACAGGGTTAGTCAAAATGAATAGGCCAATAAGAAAATTAATTTTAGACGAATGTATGTTTACTGTAACCAAACCACAGCTACGTAGCGACAGATAAACTATCAAAGTTTTTTTTGAGCAACACACATGTACGTTAATGCCGCTAGGCGTCGCTAGGGGTCGCTGTTTTCAAAATGGCGGAATCAAGCAAAGAGAAGGCGTTTTGTGTGATGACATTTGCTAAAACAATGTCAGTAATTACGGTCCAGCGAGAATTTCAAGGGTTAGGGTTAGGGTTAGGGTTAGGGTTAGGGTTAGGGTTAGGGATAGGGTTAGGGATAGGGTTAGGGATAGGGTTAGGGTTAGGGTTAGGGATAGGGTTAGGGTTAGGGTTAGGGCCTCAACGAACACCTTCCCAGACGTTGCTGCATTCGATGCCATTACGTCGGATGTGCTGCAACGGATGTGGAATGAACTGGACTATCGCTTGGACATCTGCCGTGTCACACGGGGCGCCCATATCAAACATCTCTGAAGGTGAGACAAAACTTTGATAGTTTATCTGTCGCTACGTAGCTGTAGTTTGGTTACAATAAACATACATTCGTCTAAAATTAATTTTCTTATTGGCCTATTCATTTTGACTAACCCTGTGTGTATATATATATATATATATATATATATATCTTATAAGCCATTCTGAGTCCCCTTTGGGTGAGAATGGCAGCATATAAATGTCATAAATAAATAAACACTGTATGTGCAATAGATATTGATGTTTGGAATTTTGAATAGGAAATCTCAAGTATTGATTCCCAGTTCCTGTCGTCCCTTGCAGTTGGGAAGCTGCAGTTCCTTTCCTTCCTAATCCCGTACCTTCCCAAATCTTTGCTCTGATTTTCCTTGACATTTTGAGGAAGTCATCATTATTCACAACGGCAAGATCCTCCCTCCCTTTGTAACATTTTCAAACTGTTTTCCTGTCATTGTCAGGTTACATTAAAAACTCGGAGAAACTCAACTACGGGAAGGAACACCAATATAAGCTGACAGTGACGGCCTACGACTGCGGGAAGAAGAGAGCGACAGAGGACGTGCTGGTGAAAATCACTATTAAGCCAACATGCAAGCCCGGCTGGCAAGGTTCGTTCACGGGCCGCCTTCTCTCCTGCCAGTCCCCACCACGTCTCTGTTATGCTGTATCCAAATTTATTTTTCCTCTTCCCTCCCCATCCCCTCTTGTTACAACACCTGGTCCCAAGCATTTCCAATTTTGGCAACCCAACCTCTACTTGCGCTTGAGACACAATGAATAACACCTACCTTTTTGTTGATGCATTCAGGATGGAGCAAAAGGATGGAATACGAACCCGGGACGGGTGCTCTTGCCCTCTTCCCGAACATCCATTTGGAGACGTGCGACGAGCCCATCACTTCCATAGAGGCCACCATCGAGCTGGAAACCAACCACATTGGGAAGGGTTGCGACCGAGACACGTACTCTGAGAAATCCCTGCATAGGCTCTGCGGTAAGATCTCATTGTGAGAGGGAAGGGTCCCATGGTGTGTGGAAGCAGTAATATTTCGTAGGTAGTCATCCTCTTCCCCTCCTGACATCCCCATTGTCTCGGTACTATAAGAGGGTACGTGAGACCAGTCGCTTTGGTTACCATGTGCTGTGAGGCTGTGGACCATATTTTTGTTCTTGTGGAACCACTACACTACACCATGCTATATCTCTAGCAAAAATTTAGTTTTTTTTTAATTCAAAAAAGAACAGTATAACTCCACACCCAAATTATTAGATTATTATTATTATGTTGTATATTGCATCATTATTATTAGTTTTACATTATAATATTTTGTTTATTTATTTATTGGGCGACTCAAAGCGGTCAACCACAGCAAAATTCAATGCTCAACATCATAAAAACAGTTAAAAAACAATTACTATATATACTCGAGTATAAGCCTAGTTTTTCAGTCCTTTTTTCAGACTGAAAAAGTCTCCCCCGGCTTATACTCGAGTCAATGTTATTTATTATTTTACTTTGTTGTTGTTGTTATTATTATTATTACATTCATTATTTTATTATTGTTATTATATTTACTTTTTTTACTCTATTTATTATCATTATTGTTACATTTATTATTTCACTCTATTATTATTGTTATTTTACTCTATTTATTATTGGAGGACATGTAAGCATATTTACATTGAAGAAGGTTTGAATAATGGTTTAATCAGAGTTGGGCAGTCTTATCTTGAATTACAGTTTTATGTAAATATTCAAAAACTTTTAACCAACTGATGCCTAATATTATATTATTATATATTATTATTATTATTATTATTTTATTACATGTACATGCACATTGGGTCCAAGTGTTTGGGGTTCATCAGAAATCTTCAGAATGGCCAGGACAGAGATCTGGGTGAAAGGAATGTGAGCTCAGGCGGTGTTTCTGAGACAAGAATTCTCCAGCTCATAATGCTTTCTTTCATTCCGTCTTCTTTGTGTTCATTTCTCGGCTGCCTGGCTCTTGTGCGCGGAACGTGGGGCTGAAAAATAAATTTGATCTGTCGTCCGCTTGCCCTTGAAAGTGGCGGGCTGGGATTTGCTCCCTTCCTTCGCAATCTTCCGTGCTGGCCGCAGCGCTGGCAAAATGACCGTCCGAGGTTGGGGGGCCCATATTGTGGGGCGAGCGCTGAGACTCGGCAGTGCCATTCGTCAATCTGAAAAAGGGAATTGCGCCGGTGGAGTGCCATTACTGTATAATGGAATTCATGTCACAGAAGGGCCAGAGGTACTGTAGATAATGGGAGCTGGAAATTGGCCAACGCATTAAATAACGGGGGAGAGGAAATCTGTGCAGGTTTGCTGCAGTGAAAGTTGAGCCCATAACACTGGGGTGATATTTTGCTGCTAACGCTAGCATTTGTCAGCGCGTAGAATTGGAAGAGAAGTCACAAAGGGCAACTCATTGTGTTTGTTTTCCTCCAGCGGGAATTTGCTACGGCCTTATTTTTTCATAATTCAATTTCAGGTGCTTCCTCCGACACGGCGGAGCTGCTCCCGCCTCCCAGCAACACGGCCAACTGGACGGTCGGCCTCCCGACGGACAACGGCCACGACAGCGACCAGGTCTTTGAGTTCAATGGCACCCAAGCCGTGAAGATCCCCGATAATGTGGTCGCCATCAACATGAAGGAGCCCTTCGTGATCTCCGTGTGGATGAGGCACGGGCCCGGGAGCCGAGAGAAGGAGGCCGTCCTATGCAGCTCAGACAAGACAGGTTAGGAAAAGGCCAAAACCGGGCTGGGAAAGAGCTGATGGAGTTCAAACCACTGGTTAAATGCCGCAACCCCTTAATTCATCTATGCTGACAATCATGCCATCACCACTCAAGCAGGGAGGTTTGAAATGGTTAAACAGAAGTTCTCCAAAGCTCTAGGTCAGTGTTTCTAGACCTTCCTAATGCCCCGACCCCTTAATACAGTTTCTCATGTTGTGGTGACCCCTACAAATGTCAGAAAAGACAAAGAGTTTCATCTATGCAGACGATCATGCCATCACCACTTGAGCAAGAAGCTTTGAAATGATTGAACAGAAGCTCTCCAAAGCTCTATGTCAGTGTTTCTAGACCTTCCTAATGCCCCGACCCCTTAATACAGTTCTTCATGTTGTGGTGACCCCTACAAATGTCAGAAAAGACAAAGTTCCATCTATGCTGATGATCATGCCATCACCACTCGAGCAGGGAGCTTTGAAATGGTTGAATAGAAGTTCTCCAAAGCTCTATATCAGTGTTTCTAGCCCTTCCTAATGCCCCGATCCCTTAATACAGTTCCTCATGTTGTGGTGACCCCCAAGCATAACATATTTGTTGCTATTTCGTATTTATAATTTTGCAACTCTTATGAATCACACTGTATATCTGATACTCAGGATGTATTATTTTTAATTGATTAGCCCTTAGGCCAATGCGTCTTAACTTCTCTAATGTCACGACCCCTTAATGCAGTTCCTCATGTTGTGGTGACCCCCAACCATAATGTTATATTCATTGCTACTCCAGACTGTTATGAATCATAATGTAAATATCTGATATTCAGGATGTAGTATTTTTTTAACTGATTAGCCCTTGGGCCAGTGTTTCCCAACCTTCCTAATGCGGCGACCCCTTAATACAGGTTGTCGTGACCCCGAACCATAACATTATTTTAGTTGCTATGTCATAACTAATTTTGCAACTGTTATGAATCATAATGCAAATATCTGATACACAGGATGTATTTTCATTCACTGGACCGAATTGGGCACAAATACTTGATACGCCCAAGTTTGAATACTGGTAGGGTTGGAGGGTTTTGATTATGTAATTTGGGAGTTGTAGTTGCTGGGATTTATAGTTCACCTAAAATCAAAGAGCATTCTGAACTCCACCAATGATGCACTTGAACCAAACTTGGCACACAGAACTTCCACGACCAAGAAATAATACTGTAAGGATTTGGTGGGCATTGAGCTTGAGTTTGGGATTTTGGAAGTTGTAGTTCACCTACATCCAGAGAGCACTGTGGACTCAAACAATCTGGATAGATCTGGACCAAACTTGGCATGAATATTCAATATACCCAAATTTGAACATTGGTGGAGTCTAGGGAAAATAGACTTTGACATTTGGAAGTTGTAGTTGGTGGGATTTACAGTTCACCTATAATCAAAGAGGATTGCATGACCCACAAGTGATAGAATTGGGCCAAACTTCCCACACAGAATCCTCATGCCTTGAAGGGTCTCACTGGCATGAGCCTCCCTCCAGCCTTACAAGCTCTCCCTCACCCCACACATGGCGCACTACGCTGCCAAACTTCCCACACAGAATTGGGCCAAACTTCCCGCACAGAACTCACATGACCAACAAAAAATACTGGAGAGATTTGGGGGGGATTGACAATTATTTAGAGGAGAGAATGCCTGCTCTCCCCTCTCCGCTTAGATTCTCAGAAACTGCCCTCCCCTTGCCTGAGAGGCCAGGGCTATGCCTTGAAGGGACCTGCTGACATGTGCCTCCTTCCAGTCTCACACGCTCTCCCTTTCCTGCCCATGTGCACCACGCATACCTGCTCTCCCCTCCCCGCTTAGAGTCTCAGAAACAGCCCTCCCCTTGGTTGAGAGGCCAGCCAATCACAGCAGAAGAGGGCTATGCCTTGAAGGGACCTGCTGACATGCGCCTCCCTTCAGTCTCACACGCTCTCCCTTTCCTGCACATGTGCACCACGCATGCCTGCTYTCCCCTCCCCGCTTAGAGTCCCAGAAACAGCCCTCCCCTTTGCTGAGAGGCCATCCAGTCACAGCAGAGGAGGGCTATTTCTTGAAGGAACACTGACATGCGCCTCCCTCCAGTCTCACACGCTCTCCCTTTCCTGCACACGTGCCCCACGCACGCCTGCTCTCCCCTCCTCACTTGGAATCTCAGGAACAGCCCTCCTCTTGGCTGAAACCAGCCTATCACTGCAGAGGAGGGCTTCCGGTGGGAGGATTCTCCATCTCTTTCCAAAATGGAAGAGAAGGTCAGGTGGAGAGATCTTCAGATCTTGACCCCTCTGAAACCCCCTCGCGACCCACCCAGGGGTTGAGAAATACTGTGTTAAATAATGCCATGGAATATTCAATTGAGATAAAAGGTAGAGGAGGGAAGAGCCCATAAGAACATGTCTGGATGCAGTTTAAAAAAATAATAATTGGCCCATCTCTGATTTCTCTATTTTTCCATTGTTGGCACGGCTTAGATTTCAAGTTACAATCTGTTCTGTTTTTGTGCTTTTGGGGAAAAGTTACAATTCTTCCTGTTCGCGGCAGTCAGAGGCGTGGGTGTCGATGCCTGGTGGTTCTCAGTAGCAGGTTGTTGGAAGAAGATTCCTTGGCATTTTTGCAACTGCACAAAAGACTTGATTGAAGTCGGTTGTGTGTGTTTTTTCCCCCCTCTTGGGAGAACATATTTCTCCCCTTCCCCGCTTTCCTCCCACCTATGAATAGCTTCCTCTGTGAATAGCATTGGCTTGTGAACACTGCAAACAATAATTTGGGAGATGAGAGTGATACAAAGGAAACGGGATAACTTTGAGTTTTGTAATTCCAACTTCAATAGAGAATCGTCGCGGGCTGCCATCTGGAGACCACAACGGCCATTTTGAGCAAAGGAAACTCCGCTCTCCCAAGACTCGACCGGAGCTGTCTTCCTACTTCAGAGCATTTCCTGCTCAATTTAATAGAGGAAATATCAATCTGTGTTGATAGGAACCGGCATTGTTGGAGGAAGGAAAACACCCTGCCTTTCTAATCGCAAACACCCGCTCTTTCAAACCGAATCTATGCAAGATGAGCTCAAGATGTTTCCCTTCATTAAAAAAAAATGACTTTGGAGTCTTCAAAATAATTGGGACTGAAAGAAAGATCCCTGAAACACTAGTTAATTATTATTATTATTAGAACCATGCTTTCTTTGATGTGCTAGGGCAGTGTTTCTCAACCTGGGTGGGTCACGAAGGGGTTTCAGAGGGGTCACCAAACACCATCAGATACATATATTTCTGATGATCTTAGGAACCCCTTTGGCAGAGAAGGCTGAAGATCTCTCCGTCTGTCCTTCTCTTTCTTTTTGGAAAGAGACAGCGAGGGAGAGCATGCAAGGCTGGAGGGAGGCTCATGCCAGCGTGTCCCTTCAAGGCATAGCCCTCCTTTGCTATGAYTKACCAGCCTCTCAGCCAAGGGGGTGCTGTTTCTGAGACTCCAAGCAGGGAGGGGAGAGCAGGCATGCTGGGTGCATGTGAAGGTGAGAGAGCGCATGCAAGTCTGGAGGGAGGTGTGTGCCAAATTGTTCCTTCAAGGCATAGCCCTCCTCTTCTGTGATTGACTGGCCTCTCAGCCAAAGGAAGGGCTGTTTCTGAGACTCCAAGCAAGGAGGGGAGAGCAGGTATGCTGGGTGCATGGCAGCGTGGTGTGCATGTGAAGGCGAGGGAGAGCATGCAAGGCTGGAGGGAGGTGTGTGCCAATGCGTTCCTTCAAGGCATAGCCCTCCTCTTCTGTGATTGACGCCTCTCAGCCAAAGGGAGGGCTGTTTCTGAGACTCCAAGCAAGGAGGGGAGAGCAGGTATGCTGGCTGCATGGCAGCATGGTGTGCATGTGAAGGTGAGGGAGAGCATGCAAGGCTGGAGGGAGGCTCATGCCAGCATGTCCCTTCAAGGCATAGCCCTCCTTTGCTGTGATTGGCCAGCCTCTCAGCCAAGGGAAGGATGTTTCTGAGTCYTCAAGCAGGAGAGGGGAGAGCAGGCGTGCTCACATATGGCAGCRTGAGGAGGGAGAGCGTGCAAGGCTGGAGGGAGGTGCATGCCAGCGTGTCCCTTCAAGGCATAGCTCTCCTCTGCTTTGATTGGCTGGCCTCTCAGCCAAGGGGAGGGCTGTTTCTGAGACTCCAAGCAGAGAGGGGAGAGCAGGCGTGCATGGCAGCTGGTGTGCATGTGTGAGCGAGGGAGAGCATGCGAGGCTGGAGGGAGGCACATGCCAGAGTGTTACTTCAAGTCATAGCTCTCCTCTGCTGTGATTGGCTGACTTCTCAGCCAAGGGGAGGGCTGCTTCTGAGACTCCAAGCAGGGAGGGGAGAGCAGGTGTGCATGTGTGAGCAAGGGAGAACATGCGAGGCTGGAGGGAGGCTCACACCAGCGAGCCCCTTCAAGGCAGGGGGGTTCTGTGTGGGAAGTTTGACCCAATTCTATCGTTGCTGGGTGTCAGAATTCTTCTGATTGTAAGTGAACTTCAAATCCCATCAACTATAACTCCCAAATGCCAAACTCTGTTTTCCCCAGACTCCACAATGTTCACATTTGGGCATCTGTTCAGCAGTGGAACTTTCTGCCCCAGAGTGTGGTGGAGGCTCCTCCTTTGGAGGCTTTTCAGCAGAGGCTGGATGGCTATTTGTCGGGGGTGCTTTGAATGCAATTTTCCTGCTTCTTGGCAGAATGAGGTTGGACTGGATGGCTCATGAGTATTTGTGCCAATTTTGGAACTCAACAAAAAAGCTCCTGTTTTGTAGCTCCAGGGAGATTCTGTTCAACCATTCTAAAGCTCCCTGCTGGGTGGTGATGGCATCATTATCGGCGTAGATTAAACTATTTGTCTTTTCTGGCAGTGGCTGATCATTTGTGTCAATGTTAAGTATTGATGGAGCAAGCACGCTCCACTGAGGCAGACCGCTCTTCTGTTTTCGCCATCTGCTTTTCTGGCCCTGAAACTCAACAAAAAAGCTCCTGTTTTGTAGCTTTGGAGAGCTTCTGTTCTGCCCATGGTGTTGTATGGTAACACATCTGCTTTTGCTTTACACAGATATGAACCGGCACCACTATTCTCTCTACGTCCACAACTGCCGGCTTGGATTCCTCTTCCGCCAAGACCCCTCTGAAGGACAGAGTTACAAACCAGCAGAGTTCCACTGGAAACTGAACCAGGTGGGCATGGGGAAGACCTAGGGCGCTAAGCCCCAGAACTGCCATAATCATGACAGATTGTTGATTTGTTGAACCAACGTTTCTCCTCCAGGTGTGTGACAAGGAATGGCACCACTACATCCTCAATGTCGAGTTTCCGGCCGTCACGCTGTACGTCGATGGTGTGTCTTTCGACCCTTTCCCCGTGACGGAAGACTACCCGCTGCATCCTTCCAAAATAGAATCCCAGCTGGTGGTTGGCGCTTGCTGGCAAGGTAAGATCGCTTCTAGGTAGGGAAGGCCTTGGCATCCCGACAGCAGAAGACGTTGCTTTGGAATCTGCTGGGATTTCTCATTCTCTGAGACTCGTTTCTTCCCATTCCAGTTTTATGGACGTCGTTCCTTGGGTGTGTGTCTCTCTTCGCTGAGAGCGTGCGAAGGAACAGATGGAGGTTGCAGAGTAGAAATACTGGTTCAGCATTGGATACACTCTGCAGTCGCCCTTAATTATGTCGGACTGTTTGCAAAGCCCAGGTGGTTGGCACTCTCACCATCTGTTGGCACCGCTGCCTTTGGAAAGGCACGCTAGTTGCAGCACTCAGGACTGGGGAGAAGGAGGAAAGTGAAACCACCTAGATCAGTGTTTCTCAACCTTCCCAATGCCGTGACCCCTTAATGCAGATCCTCCTGTTGTGGTGACACCTCCACCCTAACATTATTCCCACTGCTACTTCATAACTCTAATTTTGCAACTGTTGGGGTCCCGTCCAAGCCTATTATTATAATAAGAGTGGACTAGATGGCCTTGGCGGTCCCTTCCAAGCCTATTATTATAAGGGTGGACTAGATGGCCTTTGGAGTCCTGTCCAAGCCTATTATCATATTGGACTAGATGGCCTTTGGGGTCCCTTCCAAGCCTATTATAATAAGAGTGGACTAGATGGCCTTTGGGGTCCCGTCCAAGCCTATTATAATAAGAGTGGACTAGATGGCCTTTGGGGTCCCATCCAAGCCTGTTATCATATTGGACTAGATGGCCTTTGGGGTCCCTTCCAAGCCTATTATGATAAGAGTGGACTAGATGGCACTCTGAACTCCACCAGTGATGGAATTGAACCAATCTTAGCACACCACCTACATGGCCAGCATCGAATACTGGTGGGATTAGGGGGTAGTTTTGAATTCTGGGAGTTGTCGTTCACCAACACCAAAAAGGAAGAGATCTTCAGCCTTTTCTGCCAAAAGGGTTCCTAAGACCATCAGAAATATGTGTTTTCTGATGGTCTTTGGCGACCCCTCTGAAACCTCTCTTGCGACTCCCCCAGGTTGAGAAACACTGACCTAGAATGTATCCCAAAATGTCTTTTTTATTTGACTTTCCGGTCCCGTTTCGTTTTCTCAGGATGTTGCCAATGTGCAAATATGTGTATGTGTTGAAAGATTTGGCTTCTTACGACTATAAAAAGAAATGCAGAGGAAGTTTTTAATATGCAAAGCAAGTTGGCACCGCTATTCCGCGGAGGACGCAGAATGCTGACTCACGATCTCCAAGCGGCGCTTTCTCTTGTCAGTATCCGGAGAAAATGGATCCCTGTCTTCATCTGAAAGCAAAGGAAGAGATGCACACTTGTTTCAAGGCTGTGGAAACCCAGTGAGGAGTCTACTGTATACCATGCAGCTGTGGATAACTCTCTGTAGGCGCCACCGAACACAGACACGAATCAAGGAACACGAAAGGCATTGCAGATTAATCCAACCAGAGAAGTCAGCCAAAGCAGAGCACCTGATGAACCAACCTGGACACAATATATTATTGGAGAACACAGAAATGCTGGACCACTCTCACAACCACCATGTCACGTGACACAGAAATCCACAAGCATGTGGACAATGTCAACAGAAAGGAGGAAACTATGAAAATCTGGCTACCAGTATTTAAAAACTCCAAAATCAGGACAGTAAAGAAAGAGCAACATTCAAAAACAGGGGAACTCCAGACAAGAAATAATGAGGGACAGCTAATCACCTCTCAAGAAAGGATTCTCCCAGGCAGTAAGAAGCAACACCTTGAAAACTGCTAGGCCATTCAGTGCTAATCAAGGTGGCCAATTGAAACGTTCACACCAACCTCCATCAGACAAGAGTTCTTTCTCTCACCCTGGACAGTATTTCACAGATATAATCAGGGCCAGCTAATCACTTCCCAACAAAGGATTCCCCCAGGCAGGAATCAGCCCAGCTTTGAAGCTGCAAGGCCACTCAGTGCCCATCAACCATTTCAAAGCTTTCTGCTTGAGCGGTGATTGCATGATCGTCAGCATAGATTAAACCCTGTCCCTGCTGGCAGTGGCTGATCACAACATTCATAGTTGCCTCCAACAGACAAGAGTTCTTTCTCTCACCCTGGACAGTATTCCACCGATATATAAATAATCAGGGCCAGCTAATCACTTCCCAACAAAGGATTCCCCCAGGCAGGAATCAGCCCGGCTTTGAAGCTGCAAGGCCACTCGATGCCCATCAACCATTTTAAAGCTTCTTGCTTGAGCGGTGATGGCATGATTGTCAGCATAGATGAAACTCTCTGTCCCTTCTGGCAGTGGCTGATCACAACATTCACACTTGCCTCCAACAGACAAGAGGGCCAGTTACCACCTTCCAACAAAGGATTCCCCTAGGCAGGGAGAAGCCAGGCTTTGAAGCTGAATGGCCCATTCAGTACTAATCAAGGAGGGCAGTTGCAACATTCACACTTGCCTCAAGCAGGCCACCCTGGACATTCTACCTCCCAGCAAAGGATTCCCCCAGGCAGGAAGCAGCCAAGCCTTGAAGCTGCAAGGCTTTGCAGTGCTAATCAAGGTGATCAATTGCAACAATCACACTTGCCTCAAGCAGACAAGAGTTCTTTCTCCCATTCTGGACATTTCTCCCATTCTGGACACAGATATATAAACCCCATTTTCCTAGTTTCCAACAGATCCCACAACTTTCCTATAGATGTGGGCAAAACATCAGGAGAGAATGTTTCTGGAACATGACCTCTGTGGACATCTCCCTCCGTGGACATTTCAGAGATATATAAAACACATTTTCCTACTTTCCAACAGACCTCACAACCTCTGAGGATGCCTACCATAGATGTGGGCGAAACATCAGGAGAGAATGCTACCTGGAACATGACCTCCCTGGACATTTCAGAGATAAATAAAACCAATTTTCCTACTTTCCAACAGACCCCACAACCTCTGAGGATTCCTGCCAAAGATGTGGGTGAAACGTCAGGAGAGAATGCTACCTGGAACATGGCCAAAAATCCACCCAAGATGCAGGCTGTTGGACTTAATTACCTGTAGGGATTTTATATTTTCCTATTCCTGTCTTTTCCTCTTATTTTTAAGGGTTCTTCCTTGTTCGAAACAACCTACAGTGTGGGTCAAAAAGTGAGCCTTCTTTTCGTGGGGTTGCAATGCAAACAGTTGCACCCACACGTTGTGTGCCGTCAAATTGTACTAGACTTATGGTGATCCTGGTTTTCTTTGCAAGGTTAGTTCAGCGGTATTGTCGAAGGCTTTCATGGCCGGAATCACTGGGTTGTTGTAGGTTTTTCGGGTCATTCTCTAGAAGCATTCTCTCCTGACGTTTTGCCTGCATCTATGGCAAGAGTTTGTGAGGTTAGTTCAGAGGGAATTTGCCTTTGGCTGTGCGTGGATTCGAATCCTGGTCTGCAGAGTCCTAATCCAGTGCTCAAAATGTGTACCCCATAGTACCGGACGAAAGAATAGGGATTCCTTGATGTGTGTTCCCAAATGAATCTAAATGGGTTTCCTGAAAGCAGAGCCTTTGGACTTGTTCTGAAATTACGATTCTGTACCGAATGCCGAGAGAGCTGAGCGTCTGGTAAACAGAGCACGTCGCTCAAGGATGGCGTGCTGCGACAGATAAAACGTACCTCTCCTAACCACCCGGTTCCTTCTTCCTTTTCTCTTTTGCCTTCTCTGCAGACTATTCAGGAAATGAGAATGACACCGAAAAGGCCACTGAGACCCCTGCAGGTTGCTGGTCTTCTCTCTCGCTCTATATTTGCCATTAATTTCTTTTTTTCCGCCCCTCGATTTTCAGCCGACACATTGCTTCATCTCACGCACAGCATGAAATGACAGCATTACATGGCGGCCGTTGAAATGACATGATTGTTTGACAACGCTTGTTTTTTTTCATTTTACTTTTCTTATACGCTCACTTCTTATTTCAACCCTCCCACCTCCCGCCCAATCCAAATCCAAAGCTCAAAAGCAGTGAAGTGAGGAAGCGATCGGGTGTTTGACTATTTATTTATTGTGTCAGAAGTTAATTGAAGGTGCAGTTCTAATGTATTTAAGAACACAAACAAAGTTAAAAATTTGGCATTATCCTAAATGTCGTTTGACATGTCCAGCTGGTTTTCCCTGTAATAGGCAGTAAGAGCACCTAAAGCTTCAGAGAGCGTCTGTTCAACCATTTCAAAGTTCCCTGCTTGGGCGGTGATGGCATGATCGTCAGCATAGATAAAACTGTCCCTTCTGGTGGTGGCTGATCGATCATTTGTGTAAATGTTAAACATTGATGGAGCAAGCACCTAAACCCATGGAGAACTATGCAACCATTTCAAAGCTCCCTGCATGGGCAGTGATGTTATGATCATCGGCATAGATGAAACTCTGCCTTTTCTGGCAGTTTGTTGGTCATTTGCATAAATGTTAAACATTGATGGAGCAAGCTGGTTTTCCTTGTAATAGGTAGTAAGAGCACCTAAAGCTTCAAAGAGCTTCTGTTCACCCATCTCAAAGCTCCCTGCTTGAGCAGTGATGGCGCGATCGTCAGCATAGATGAAACTCTCTGTCCCTTCTGGCAGTGGCTGGTCATTTGTGTAGATATTAAACATTGATGGAGCAAGTTGGTTTTCCCTGTAATAGGCATAAGAGCACCTAAAGCTTCAGAAAGCTTCTGTTCACCCGTTTCTAAACTCCCTGCTTGAGCGGTGATGGCACAATCATTAGCGTAGATAAAACTCTCTGTCCCTTCTGGCAGTGGCTGGTCATTTGTGTAGATATTAAACATTGATGGAGCAACATGGTTTTCCCTGTAATTGGCAGTAAGAGCACCTAAAGCTTCAGAGAGCTTCTGTTCAGCTGTTTCAAAGCTCCCTGTTTGGGTGATGGTGGCACGATTGTCAGCATAGATGAAGCTCTGTCCCTTTTGGTAGTGGCTGGTCATTCTTGTAAACGTTAAACATTGATGGAGCAAGCACCTAAACCTGTGGAGAACTATGCAACCATTTCAAAGCTCCCTGCATGGGCAGTGATGGTATGATCATCGGCATAGATGAAACTCTTTACCTTTTCTGGCAGTTTGTTGGTCATTTGCGTAAATGTTAAACATTGATGTTGCAAGCTGGTTTTCCTTGTAATAGGTAGTAAGAGCACCTAAAGCTTCAAAGAGTTTCTGTTCACCCATCTCAAAGCTCCCTGCTTGAGCAGTGATGGTGCGATCGTCAGCATAGATGAAATTCTCTGTCCCTTCTAGCAGTGGCTGGTCATTTGTGTAAATGCTAAACATTGATGGTACAAGCTAGTTTCCCCTGTAATAGGCAGTGAGAGCACCTAAAGCTTGGGAGAGCGTCTGTTCAACCATTTCAAAGCTCCCTGCTTGAGCGGTGATAGCACGATCATTAGCATAGATTAAACTCTCTGTCCTTTCTGGCAGTGGCTGGTCATTTTTGTAAATGGTAAACATTGATGGAGCAAGCTGTTTTTCCTTGTAATGGGCAGTAAGAGCACCTAAAGCCTCAGAGAGCTTCTGTTCAACCATTTCCAAGCTCCCTGTTTGGGTGATGATGGCATGATCGTCAGCATAGATGAAACTGTCCCTTCTGGTGGTGGCTGATTGATCATTTGTGTAAATGTTAAACATTGATGGAGCAAGCACCTAAACCCATGGAGAACTATGCGAGCATTTCAAAGCTCCCTGTTTGGGTGATGATGACACGATCATAGGCATAGATGAAACTCTTTGCCTTTCTGGCAGTTTGTTGGTCATTTGCGTAAATGTTAAACATTGATGGAGCAAGCTGGTTTTCCTTGTAATAGGTAGTAAGAGCACCTAAAGCTTCAAAGAGTTTCTGTTCACCCATCTCAAAGCTCCCTGCTTGAGCAGTGATGGCGCGATCGTCAGCATAGATGAAACTCTCTGTCCCTTCTAGCAGTGGCTGGTCATTTCTGCAAATGTTAAACATTGATGGAGCAAGTTGGTTTTCCCTGTAATAGGCAGTAAGAGCACCTAAAGCTTCAGAGAGCTTCTGTTCACCCATTTCAAAACTCCCTGCTTGAGCGGTGATGGCACAATCATTAGCGTAGATAAAACTCTCTGTCCCTTCTGGCAGTGGCTGGTCATTTGTGTAGATATTAAAACATTGATGGAGCAACTTGGTCTTCCCTGTATTAAGGCAGTAAGACCACCTAAAGCTTCAGAGAGTTTCTGTTCAACCATTTCAAAGCTCCCTGCTTGAGCAGTGATGGCACGTTTATCAGCATAGATGAAACTCTCTGTCTCTTCTGGCAGTAGCTGGTCATTTGTGTAGATATTAAAACATTGATGGAGCAAGTTGGTTTTCCTTGTAATAGGCAGTAAGAATACCTAAAGCTTTGGAGAGTTTCTGTTTACCCATTTCAAAGCTCCCTGCTTGGGTGGTGATGGCATGATCATCAACATAGATGATATTATTTTTAGTGCCCACATTTTGCTTGATAGTCAAGCAGTGCTTCTTGTAAGTCAGAGCAGAGGGCAAAGTGACTCGCAGGTGGGATTCCTTCCCAGGTAATCCGCAAAGCCTGAGATGCTTGTCTGTTGGGTGGGCGGGTGGCCCTTTTCTCTGCCTCTGGTGCGCGTCCAGCATGGCAACTCTGGCACTTTGCAATCCGAAGAGCATCTTGAATGCGGAAGTTACATCAGGACTTCACGAATTGAGCATAGTCATTCTGCTTCACTCCCCCCACTGCCATCTCAATATATTATTGCATGAGTGAACTTTGTTTCTTAAGTTCTGCATTATTATTTTGTTTCCTTTTCCACCGTCCGGTTGTGCTTGAACATCAACTGCAAGGTTAACCCCGGAATGGGCACTGACTAACCCGCATGCCAGTTGGGGCTGAAGGAAAAGTAAAATCTTGATGCTCAAGGTGACTCTCTTGCTTTACCCCTCCAAGGTGGCGAACTCCGCATGGCCCAGTACTTCCGAGGCAACCTGGCTGGGTTAATGATCCGCTCCGGAAAGCTGGAGAACAAGAAGGTGATCGACTGCCTGTACACCTGCAAAGAAGGGCTGGATCTGCACGTGGCAGATGGCGCTAGCAAGGGCCTGAAGGTAAATGTTTACCTCTGTGGGGTTGCGCGGGTCTCTAAACACCAGAAAGCAAAGATTGAGTAGCGCTATCTTTTCAATGTCATCTGTCTCTTTGTAATGAAAGGGGAAATGATGTCTCCCCGCGCACCACCCGCACGCCTGTCAAGGTTGACTTTACCTGTAGCTTTCATATCATTGACAACCTTGAAATTTTTCCGTAGAGGACACAGAGAAGGGGGGAATTAGATGACTCGCGCAGCCTTGAGTGTTGCTCTCCTTTCTCTCTCCATAGGTATTTGTCAATAATTTTGGCTTGCTCGTCCGACATAAATGCGCTGCCAAAATGTTGGATAAGTGAAAATGTTGGATAATACAGAGGGATTAAGGAAAAGCCTATCAATCCTGAGCAATAATAATATTTATTATTTACTAGCCGTCCCCTGCAACGCGTTGCTGTGGCCCACATGGGGGTCCTGTGTGGGAGGTTTGGCCTCATGTAAGCCGCACTGAGTCCCTCTTGGGGGAGATGGTGGCGGGGTATAAATAAAGATTATTATTATTATTATTATTATTATTATTATTATTATTATTATTATTATTATTATCTTGCCCGCTTCCAGGTCCACATGAACCCGAGTCAGTCGGCTGTGACCCTGGAAGGAGACGACTTTGATCGCTTCGACAAGGCCATGCAGCACATCTCCTACCTGAACTCGCGCCAGTTTCCGACTCCCGGCATCCGCAGGATCAAAATCACCAGCACCGCAAAGTGAGTCCGCTTGTTCGTCAGAGGGGAGAGGTTGGATTGTGATAGAATCGACGGTCTTCACTGGAGGACATTTTTCAGACTTGCTTTAGTTGTGTTTCCATCTCACACCAGAGTTACATAGGAGCTTTTTACACACAACAGTCTTCACACTGGGGCTTCCTCTCACACTGAGGCATTCTCATACTAACACTGAGGCTTACCTCACTCTGAGGTCTTTCTCTCACTGAAGCCTTCTCACACTGAGGGCTCTCTCAGACAGAGGCGAACTAATACCGAGATCTTCTCATAGTGAGGCCTACTGACACACTGAGGTATTTCTCCCACAGAGACCTCTCACAGACTGAGGGCTACTAAGCTACAGGCACACATCTCATACCAGAGCTACACAGGAGCTTTTTACACACAAGTCTTCACACTGGAGCTTCCTCTCACACTGAGGCATTCTCATACTGAGGCCTACTAACAGTGAGGCCTACCTCACTCTGAGATATTTCTCTCACTGAAGCCTTCTTACACTTAGGGCTCTCTCAGACAGAGGCGAACTAATACTGAGACCTTCTCATAGTGAGGCCTACTAACACACTGAGGTCCTTCTCCCACAGAGACCTCTCACAGACTGAGGGCTACTAAGCTACAGGCACACATCTCACACCAGAGCTACACAGGAGCTTTTTACACACAAGAGTCTTCACACTGGAGCTTCCTCAGTGGGAGAAAGGCCCCAGTCTGAGAGAGCCCTCAGTGGAAGAAAGACCTCAGTGTGAGGTAGGCCTCAGTGTTAGTAAGCCCCAGTAGGAGAACACCGCAGGTGGTTGGACTGGATGGCCCACAAGGTCTCTTCCAACTCTATGATTCTATGATTGTAGTGTTAGTTCGCCTCAGTGGGAGAAAGGCCCCAGTCTGAGAGAGCCCTCAGTGGAAGAAAGACCTCAGTGTGAGGTAGGCCTCAGTGTTAGTAAGCCCCAGTAGGAGAAGACCGCAGGTGGCCCACCACGTCTCTTCCAACTCTCTAATTCTATGATCTATCAGATATTTCTGTCCAGGGCAAGAGAGGCAGAACTGAGGTATGCCTTCTGATTGGTTTTTAAAATGCTTGTCCCTGTTGATGATGCTCATTCCATGCGCTGTGAGTCTCCCCTCCTAATGGCAGCCATCTTCCGTGGCCTTTGCAGGTGCTCCAGCGACGAGGCCTGCATTGCCATTCCCTTCGTCGATGGCTACGTCATGGTCTTGCAGCCCGAAGAGCCCAAGATCAGCCTGAGCGGCATCAACCACTTTGCCCGGTCGGCTTCCGAGTTCGAGAGCCCCGAAGGCGTTTCCCTCTTCCCTGAGCTTCGCATCATCAGCACCATCACGCGGGAAGTTGAGCCGGAGGGGGACGGCGATGAGGATCCCACAGGTAAAGGATGCTCAGTGGACAAAACCAGGTTTGGGATGGGTAATGAGTGGCGGGATGATGAAAGATCATATGGCAATACAGAAGATGTTTGCCTTCATTGGGAGCAGCATAACGGATCTCTGTTATTGTAGCTACATCTCCCTATTTCACCCTTGGAATATATCCAAGAGATTGAGATGCTTGTCTGTTCTTAAGGTGAAAAGCACACGCCTGCATTTTAGATGGATTAGGAATCAGCTGGTTTTCTCTGTAATTGGCAGTAAGAGCACCTCAAGCTTCAGCCATTTCAAAGCTCCTTGCTTGAGTGGTGATGGCATGATCGTCAGCATAGATGAAACTCTCTGTCCCTTCTGGCAATGGCTGGTCATTTTTGTAAATGGTAAACATTAATGAAACAAGCTGGTTTCCCCTGTGATGGGCAGTAAGAGCACCTAAAGCTTGGAAGAGCTTCTGTTCAGCCATTTCAAAGCTCCCTGCTTGAGTGGTGATGGCACAATCATCAGCATAGATGAAACTCTCTGTCCCTTCTGGCAGTGGCTGGTCATTTGTGTAAATGTTAAACATTGATGGTGGAAGCTGGTTTTGCCTGTAATAGGCAGTAAGAGCACCTAAAGCTTCAGCCATTTCAAAGATCCCCGTATGAGTGGTGATGGCACAATCGTCAGCATAGATGAAACTCTCTGTTCCTTCTGGCAGTGGCTGGTCATTTGTGTAAATGTTAAGCATTAATGATGCAAGCTGGTTTTCCCTGTGATGGGCAGTAAGAGCACCTAAAGCTTCAGAGAGCTTCTGTTCAGCCATATCAAAGCTCCCTGCTTGAGTGGTGATGACACGATTGTCAGCATAGATGAAACTCTGTCCCTTCTGGCAGTGGCTAGTCATTTGTGTAAATGTTAAACCTTGATGGTGTAACCTGGTTTTCCTGATTCTCTTCTTTCTTTTCTTCACAGTCCAAGAATCCTTGGTCTCTGAGGAGATCATGCACAATTTGGATACTTGCGAGGTCACGGTGGTGGGAGAGGAGTTGAACCAGGAGCAGGAGAGCTTGGAGGTGGACATGGTGCGCCTGCAGCAGAAGGGCATGGAGATGAGCAGCTCCAACCTCGGCCTCATCATCACAGGTATCCCCACAGATGCAACTTGGCATCCAAACATCATACCTACAGAACAGAGGTGTTTACGTTTCACGGCAGGAGGCTACTGAAGTCTGAACTGTCATTGTAATGATCTCAGTACAGCAAGGCACTGAAACACACCGTCTTGTCTAAAAGCTAATTTATTAAACACAAAAAATAATATTTACTCTAAAAGCTAAGCAGAACAAAACTTGCTTCCATCTCTCACGGCTTCATGATTCATCTACACGTTGTTATCTAAACTTTAGCACCTCCTTACATTCCACAGTGACGTGATGACAACGATGCTCTCGATGCTAGACAGTGTACATAGCTCTCCACACTAAGATTTACGACTCTCTAGGAATGCCGCTTCTCTTCATGATACAGTTAACTCTTTCCACACAGGAATTACAACTCCGCACATTGCACTACAAAGCATCACATTTCTAACACACAAACACTAACTTTGAAAACTACAATTCACTTAATCAAAACACACACATATATCGTCAACATGAACATACTTCTTTTCCTCAATAACTTGTTCTCATGGCTTGCCCCCAAGTGACAGCTTCTGTGTTGTGCTCCTTCCAGGGGTCGATACCATGGCCAGCTATGAAGAGGTTTTGCACTTGATCCGCTACCGCAATTGGCACACCATCTCTCTGTTTGACCGCAAGTTCAAGCTGGTCTGTTCAGAGCTCAACGGACGTTACATCAGCAATGAATTTAAGGTGGAGGTATGTCAACAGGCCTTCTGTGGAATGTCCAGGGTGGGAGAAAGAACTCTTGTCTGGGTACTTTTAATTAACTGGGTATTTTTGTTTACAAAAGTGTAAGTCAAGCACTAAAAGAGTAAGTAGGCCGAAGCCTGTTAGAGTTAGTGGACCAAAGCTAGTGTCGTCCTGAGGAGTGTGAGGTAAACCTCTGTGTGAGAGAAGCCTTGTGTGAGAAAGCTCCTGTGTGTGAAGGCTCCTGCATTGAAAGCTACTATGTATTTGTTTATTTGTGTTGTAGAAACCTTGTTCTTGTAAATAAGGCGTAAACCTGGAGCCCAACAATACAATTAGAAATATTTAAAATTAACTTGGTATTTTTGAATACAAAAGTGTGAGTCAAGTACTGAAAGAGTTTGTAGGGCGAAGTCTGTTAGAGTCGGTAGGCCGAAGCTAGCGTTGTCCTGAGGAGAGTGAGTAGGCCGAAGCCTGTCAGAGTCAGTGGGCCAAAGCCAGCGTTGTCCTGAGGAGAGTGAGTAGACCGAAGCCTGTTAGAGTCAGTGGGCCAATGCTAGCGTTGTCTTGAGGAGCATGAGTAGGCCAAAGCCAGTTAGAGTCAGTGGGGCAAAGCTAGTGTCGTCCTGAGGAGTGTGAGGCAAACCTCAGTGTGAGAGAAGACTTGTGTGAGAAAGCTTCAGTGTGAAAGCTGTTTCGTGGAAAGCTACTATGTATTTGTTTATTTGTGTTGTAGAAACCTTGTTCTTGTAAATAAGGCGTAAACCTGGAGCCCGACAATACAATTAGAAATATTTAAAATTAACTTGGTATTTTTGAATACAAAAGTGTGAGTCAAGTACTGAGTTAGTAGGGCGAAGTCTGTTAGAGTCGGTAGGCCGAAGCTAGCGTCTTCCTGAGGAGAGTGAGTAGGCCGAAGCCTGTCAGAGTCAGTGGGCCAAAGCTAGTGTTGCCCTGAGGAGAGTGAGTAGACCGAAGCCTGTTAGAGTCAGTGGGCCAACGCTAGCGTCGTCTTGAGGAGCATGAGTAGGCCGAAGCCTGTTAGAGTCAGTGGGCCAAAGCTAGTGTCGTCCTGAGGAGTGTGAGGCAAACCTCTGTGTGAGAGAAGCCTCGTGTGAGAAATCTTCAGAGTGAAGGCTGCTTCATGGAAAGCTACTATGTATTTGTTTATTTGTGTTGTAGAAACCTTGTTCTTGTAAATAAGGCGTAAACCCGGAGCCCGACAATACAGTTAGAAATATTTAAAATTAACTTGGTATTTTTGAATACAAAAGTGTGAGTCAAGTACTGAAAGAGTTAGTAGGGCGAAGTCTGTTAGAGTCGGTAGGCCAAAGCTAGTGTTGTCCTGAAGAGGGTGAGTAAACCGAAGCCTATTAGAATCAGTGGGCCAAAGCTAGCGTCGTCCTGAGGAGAGTGAGTAGGCCGAAGCCTGTCAGAGTCCGTGGACCAAAGCCAGTGTCGTCCTGAGGAGTGTGAGGCAAACCTCTGTGTGAGAGAAGCCTCGTGTGAAAAATCTCCAATGTGAAGGCTGCTCTGTGTAAAGCTGCTATGTATTTGTATATTTGTGTTGTGGAAACCTTGTTAGTGAAAATTCTGCAACTATATTATTTTACTACAAAAACAAGCATCCTATGGAAGAGAGAACATTGGTCTGGACCCTTTCCCTGACTTCCCATGTTTCTTCCAGGTGAATGTGATCCACACGGCCAACCCCATGGACCACGCCAGCCATATCGCAGCACAGCAGCCCCAATTCGTCCAGCCAGTCCACCATTCCTTTGTTGACCTCGCGGGTCACAACCTGGCGAACCCTCACCCAGGCTTCTCAGGTAAGGCCTCGTCCCTTCCTTGGCCCCCATCAGCTCTCCTTTTGCCCCTTCCAACCCCTTTCGGTGGTCCGTCTCTTTCCAGCCGAGCTTTGATATCCTTCTGGCTCCCTTCCTAGTGACGTCTGGCTGATGCATTAAGCGAGTGATGCCTTAATGTCTTGTGGGCTGTGAAATTCAAGTCCTCCCGAGAGACCCAAATAACCTGCCAGATTTTTAAAACATAGCTTTTTATGAGAGCGAGAGGAACCGAAAGTGCCTCAGCCTATATTTCCCTTGGCTCAAGGGAAGAATGGAATTGCTAAACGATTCCCAAACCTGGAAAAGTGTGGGTTACTGTTCCCTTGGAGCGAGGATGAATGGAGAGGCAATTCTGGATTTTCTGTCAAGTTGAGAACATTCCCAGCTCCAACATACTAAATGTTGGGTTGCTGTGAGTTAAAAAATGTTATGCTTAAAACTTAAAGTAATTATTTAAAAACCAGTTGATTGGTGAATTGTATGGCCATGTTCCAGAAGCATTCTCTCCTGACATTTCACCCACATCTGCTGAATGCCAATAATGTGCACAGTCTAGAATGTCATGCGTTCTGAGGGCGCTTGAGAAGTTTGGGGAGCTGATGGTCCCCTTACTTATGAATTCGTATACTGGGTTTCCTTGTTACTGCAACCTGCTGTAGTAGCTGCTCAACAAGAACAAAGCCGGGGTGGAGCAATAGTTTAAGCCCTTGTGCCGGCAGGGCTGCTGACTGAAAGGTCAGTGGTTTGAATTTGAGGTGCGAGAGGAGCTCCCATCTGTCAGCTCCAGCTTCTCATGCAGGGACATGAGAGAAGCCTCCCACAGGATTGCAAAACATTTGGGTGTCCCCTGAGCAACGTCCTTTCAGACAGCCAATTCTCTCACACCAGAAGAACTGCTGACCGAAAGGTTGGTGGTTCGAATCCAGGAAGTGTGAGGCAAACCTCTGTGTGAGAGAAGCCTCGTGTTAGAAAGCTCCAGTGTGAAGGCTTTCTCATGTGTCAGCTCCAGCTTCTCATGTGGTGACGTGAGAGAAGCCTCCCACAAGGATAGTAAAACATCTGGGCATCTCTTGGGCAACATCCTTGCAGACAGCCAATCCTCTTACACCATGATGGACTGTTGACCGAAAGATCAGTGGTTCGAATTTGAGGTGTGGGATGAGCAGCTTCAGCTTCTCATGCAGGGACATGAGAGAAGCCTTCCACAGGGTGGTAACACATCCGAGCATCCCCAGGGCAACGTCCTTGTAGACGGCCAATTCTCTCACACCAGAAGCGACTTGTATTTTCTCAAGTTGCTCTTGACATGAAAAGAAAACAAAATATTTTATGTGGTGGCAAATACAATTTACTCTGAACTGCTCAACACTTCGATACAGGAAACCATGTCCACTCTATGCGTCTTCTAACAGTGCCATCTTTTCTCTTCCTCCCTGCTGACATCTTTCAACCCTCCTAGTGGTTCCCAGTACTGCCACGGTCGTGATTGTGGTGTGCGTCAGCTTCCTGGTGTTCATGATCATTCTCGGGGTCTTCCGGATCAGAGCCGCCCACCAGCGAACGATGCGGGACCAGGACTCTGGGAAGGAGAACGAGATGGACTGGGATGACTCCGCGTTGACCATAACTGTTAACCCCATGGAGGTAAGCCTTGCTTATGTATCTCAGTTAGTTTTTCAGGTGCCTACAGCTAACCGTTTTGTTGACAAGTGTGTTCTGGATTCCTAAGGATCTCTGAAGTGTGATCAGGAGTCTCAGAATAGTCCTCTTATATCCAATAAAATCAAACTCCAAAAATATCCACCCCCAGAAGTGTTTACGGGCCCTCTTAAGTCCTCCAATACACAATTATACTAGTACACATAGAAAACACAACAAGAAAAGAAAATACCGTATATATTTGAAGATAAGCCCAGTTTTTCAGACCTTTTTATGGACTTATAATGAGGTCAAACCAGGCATTGGGGTCTGGAGGCCATTGTTTGCAATATATGATCTATTTCCGTCTCCTCTTCCCCTCCCTACACAGTGTGTTTTCTTTTCTGCTTCTGCTCTGCTTCTCCTCCCAGGCTGGGAGGAGGGGGAGAGAAGCCCTTGCAATATATGACCTACTTCTGTCTCCTCTTCCCCTCCCTAAACAGTGTGTTTTCTTTTTTGCTTCTGCTCTACTTCTCCTCCCAGGCTGGAATGTTTTGAAAAGGGAAAGGAGGGGGAGAGAAGTCCGTGCAAGGCATGATCTATTTCTCTCTCCTCTTCCCCTCCATAAACAGTGTGTTTTCTTTTCGGCTTCTGCTCTGCTTCTCCTCCCAGGCTGGAATGTTTTGAAAAGGGAAAGGAGGGGGAGAGAAGCCCTTGCAAGGCATGATCTATTTCTCTCTCATCTTCCTCTCACTAAACAGTGTGTTTTCTTTTCTGCTTCTGCTCTGCTTCTCCTCCCAAACTGGAATGTTAACAAAAAGATTTGTACTTATCGGGGTGGGGTGGGGGGGTTCGTTTTCGTTTAATTTCTGAAAACAGAAAAGAGAGACAGATGAAAAGACCAGCGAAACCGATCCAGATAGCCGAAAATTTTGGAAAATACCTGAGGCAGAAGAAGACTCCTCCATTTTTTTTTTCTTGGAAAGTTGCCTCCTCCTCCAGAGAGGGTCCTGGGAACTCGCTTTTCCAGCGGCACTAGCATAGGGCGGCCATTGAAAAGTTCCTCTCGAAGCATGATGGGAGTTGAAGCTCTTCTCTCTGTGTGTCTCTCAGCCAATAAAAAGCCTGGTGGTGTCCATGCTGTGATTGGCTGAGAATGGACACAACCAGCGACTACAAATCCCAGAAACCTCTCTTGCAGCATGTCTTATTTTTAAAGTAATTCTTAAAAAATCAGTAGATTAGTGAATTGTTTTGAAACTTGGCAGGCCTGCGATTGTAAATGAGGTGGGCTTCATACAGGTAGGCCTTAAAATGGACACTTTAGAGGAGAGTGAGAATTTCCAACCAGTGTGTATTTTCCTTTACAGACCTATGAGGACCAGCACAGTAGCGAGGAGGAGGAGGAGGAAGAGGAGGAGAGCGAAGACGGGGAGGAAGAGGACGACATCACAAGCGCCGAGTCGGAGAGCAGTGAGGAAGAGGAAGGGGAGCAGGAGGAGGACCAGCAGAACGTAAACAGGCAGCAGCAGCTAGAATGGGACGACTCCACGCTCACCTATTGATCCCAGCGATTCCGGGCGCGGTTTCTTCCGTCTCTCTCTCCTCTTTCTTTCATGTCGTCGTTCTTCAGTCCTGGAAGACTCCACCGCAAACCATCGCTCTCAAGGATCCGCTTGGTCCAGCAAAGGCAACCAGCGCACCTTGGGAAAACCACCACCATCACCCCTGGCCTCATCCATATGCCTCTCTCTCTCTCTCTCTCTCTCTCTCTTTCCTGACCCCACAATCCTCTAGAAATCCAGCTAGCACCTCTTCTCCCTCTGTTATCCCACAGTGACTGGATTTTGGTTGTGAGTTTTGTTTTAATTTTCAAGGGACTGCCTTGTATCCTCTCCTGGCGTCGTGTCACTGAAGCGGCGTCACAGCTTCACTCAGTTTTAGAAAATTTTCAGTGGTTCGTTTCTCATGCTTTCCCAGGAAACAATTCACATCGAGGTTGTTTGTTGATCTAGAGTTAAATTCTTTCTCTCTCTTACTTTTTGTTTCAATTGGGCGTTTTGCCAGGAGAGCGGTTTTTTGGCTCATTTCATCCATGCGCAACTTCTGCTCATTTCATCCCCGCGCAACTTCTGGCTCATTTTATCCCTGCGCAACTTCTGGCTCATTTCATCCTCGTGCGACTTCTGGCTCATTTCATCCCCGCGCGACTTTCGAAACATGTTCTTTCTCCTCCCAACCTCCTAGTGCATGTGTAAAGTGGCAGAATGAGGTCAAATATGTAGAAGATTAACAAGACTTTTTAATATTTTGTAAATATATTGGAATTATGTAATTACGTCACTTGTGGTAGTGGAAATAAAAAAAAGGGGGTGGGTGGGACTCGGGAGGGAGGGAGGAAACCATGCGAAACTTTTAAAAACAAATCATGCAGCATGCTGTAGAGATAAGGTTTGTTTTCTCGTTCTCTTTTTTTTTCCTGTTCCTGCCGCCAAAAGCATGGGGCAAGTTTCCATTCGTGTAGAGAAATGATCCAGTGGCATTGGACTCGACTGCCATCTTTACTCTGGACCAAGCTCTGTTGATAGGTTCCCCCAATTTTTTTTTTGTGTTAGTTTGTTTCTAAAATGCTACTTTCATAAAGAAAAGACCAAAAAAATGTGATTTTTAATTGCAAAACCTTCTTTTTCATGGGACCCCTTTCTCTGAGTCTGACTTCCCTCCTTTTCTCAAGGGCCGGGTCCTTGTTTGCATTGGTTTTGAGGAGGATATTTTTTTTCCCGTGTCAAGAGCGACTTGAGAAACTGCAAGTCGCTTCTGGTGTGAGAGAATTGGCTGTCTGCAAGGACGTTGCCCAGGGGATACCCAGATGCGTTACCATCCTGTGGGAAGCTGGAGCTGACAGATGGGAGCTCACCCTGCTCCCTGGATTCGAACCACCGACCTTTTGGTCAGCAGTCCTTCTGGTGTTAGAGAATTGGCTGTCTACAAGGACGTTGCCCAGGGGATGTGTTACCATCCCGTGGGAGGCTTTTCTCATGTCCCTGCATGAGAAGCTGGAGCTGACAGATGGGGAGCCCAACCCACTCCCTGGATTCAAACTGCCGACCTTTCAGTCAGCAGTCTTTCTGGTTTGAGAGAATTGGCTGTCTACAGGGACGTTGCCCAGGGGACGCGCAGATGTTTTACCGTCCTGTAGGAGGTTTCTCTTATGTCCCCTCATGAGAAGCTGGAGCTGAGAGGCAGGAGCTCCCCCACTCCCCAGATTTGAATTGCCGACCTTTTGGTCAACAGTCCTTTTGGTGTGAGAGAATTGGCTGTCTGCAGGCACGTTGCCCAGGGCATGCCTGGATGTGTTACCATCCTGTAGGAGGCTTCTCTTATGTCCCCTCATGAGGAGCTGGAGCTGAGAGGCAGGAGCTCCCCCACTCCCCAGATTTGAACTGCCGTCCTTTTGGTCAGCAGTTGGTGTGAGAGCATTGGCTGTCTGCAGACGCGTTTCCCAGGGGACTCCTGGAAGTGTCACCATCCTGTGGGAGGCTTCTCTCACGTTCCAGCATGAGAAGCCGGAGTAGAGACATGGAAGCTCACCCCACTCCCCAGCGACCTATCAGTCAGCAGTCCTGCTGGCACGAGGGTTTTAACGCATTGCGCCAGCGGGTGCTCCTTGAGAAGGATGTGCCTCGGGCACTTGATACGATATATAAAAAATGACGAAAGGCGGTTTTTATTTTCAGTTTGCACAAAGAGAGGCACCCCGATGGCCGGGCGCTTTCTGATTCCACATTCCTGTGTCCACAGGGGTCTTCGATGATTGTAATAGATTTGGTGGAACGTGATACTGGGAGGGTGGCGGGGTGGGCGGGAAAGCAGGGCGTCGTTCTTCGAAAACACTCCATTTTGTGGCCTGTGGCTCTTGTACAATAATTTGGGACGTGGAGATATTTTTCTCTTTTGGGTTGAGGGGGTGTCATTGTTTACACTGAATGTCTGCCGTTATTTTCTTCTGTTTTGAGACGATTCCTCGCAACCTTGTGAACCTGCTTCAAGGTGCAAGGTTGAAAGAGCGGGGATTTGGGGGGGGGGGTTAAAGGAGCCAGCATCCGGTCACTTGGGCTTCGGAGGGAAAACGTCCCCCAAAGCGAAGAAAAGCAAGTGATGACCCCAACGGCATGGCGGCGACTGCTAGGCTTTTCTTTTTCCTCTTTTAAGTTGGTCGCTTCTTTGTTTTTCCAGCAAATTGGTGGGTTTTGGGGGGGGGGGGGAGATGGCGGAGGCTGTTCTGCTCCCACTTGCTGGCTGCTAACTATGAGAGTAATTTGGAAAGTAAGGTTACAAGGCATGTAGTTCTCACAGGGAATTTTCGCAAGGGAAGTTGGTATCACTGCCATGTAGTTCACCTACATCCGGAGCACACTATGAACCCAAAAGGATGCATTAGGGAACGCGACAAAGTTCCAACTGACAGTTGATTGCCCTCACGCCTCCTATCCTCCACTGTACGAGGGATATCCGGAAAGAGAGGTTGCAAGGCACGCTGGCTTCCCACTACACAGTGATAGCAACTTCCCCCACGAAAATTCCCCACGAGAGCTACGTGCTTTGTAATCTTACTTTCCGGATAACCCTCGTAGGATAAAGTGAAGTGGGGTTGGCGGAAGGAGACATTTTTCAGTGCGAAGGTCCCCAGATGCTGCTAAAGATGTTGGTTTACTCTGGGGCCAGGAATACAGATTCAAAACTGTTGTCACAGAATCTGTGCTTTACACGGAGAAAGGTCCCCACTCTAGTGACTTCGTGTCAGGAGCAACTTGAGAAACTGCAAGTTGCTTCTGGTGTGAGAGAATTGGCCGTCTACAAGGACGTTGCCCAGGGGACGCCTGGATGTTTTACCATCCTGTGGGAGGCTTCTCTCATGTTTCTGCATGAGAAGCTGGAGATGACAGATGGGAGATCACCCCACTCCCTGAATTCAAATCACCGACGGTTTCGGTCAGCAGTCCTTCTGGTGTGAGAGAATTGGCCGTCTGCAAGGATGTTGCCCAGGGGACGCCCAGATGTTTTACCATCCTGTGGGAGGCTTCTCTCATGTCTCTGCATGAGAAGCTGGAGATGACAGATGGGAGCTCGTTCTACTCCCCGGATTCAAACCACCAACCTTTGGGTCAGCAGTCCTTCTGGTGTGAGGGAATTGGCCGTCTGCAAGGACGTTGCCCAGGGGACACCTGGATGTTTTACCATCCTGTGGGAGGCTTCTCTCATGTCCCTGCATGAGAACCTGGAGCTGACAGACGGGAGCTCACCCCGCTCCCCAAATTCAAATCACCGACCTTTTGGTCAGCAGTCCTTCTGGTGTGAGAGAATTGGCCGTCTGCAAGGACGTTGCCCAGGGGATGCCTGGATGTGTTACCATCCTGTGGAAGGCTTCTCTCATGTCTCTGTATGAGAAGCTGGAGCTGACAGATGGGAGATCACCCCACTCTCCAGATTAGAACCACCGACTTTTTTGGTCAGCTGTCCTTCTGGTGTGAGAGAATTGGCTGTCTGCAAGGATGTTGCCCAGGCGGGAGCCTGTCTCCTTCAGAGGTCACCTGGATGATGTTTTACCATCCTTTTGGGAGGATTCTCTCATGTCCCTGCATGAGAAGCTGGGGCTGAGAGATAGGACTCCCCGGATTCGAGTCGCCAACCTTTTGGTCAGCAGGCCTTCTGGTGTGAAAGAATTGACTGTCTGCAAGGACGTTGCCCAGGCGGAAGTCTGTCTCCTTCAGGGTTCGCCCGGTTGTTTTGATGCTTTACCACCCTTGTGGGAGGCTTCTCTCATGTCCATGCATGGGGAGCTGGAGCTGACAGAGGGAGCTCTCTCCCCAGATTCGAACCTCCGGCCTGTTGGTCTTTAGTCCTGCCAGCACAAGGGCTTAACCCGTTGTGCCACAGGGGGTTCAAAGATTGGGAGTGATGGACCAAGTGTCTCCTTCAGCCCACTACGGTTTGGACTCCAACTCCCAGCATCCCTCACCATTGGGGCTGGGGATTCTGGGCCCTGAAACCCAAACCTTCAGAGCCATCCTATCCATCCTGGAACAGCTCTTTAAGGAAGGAACACGCCGAAGGGAGAGAAGGTCATTCTCCTTCCTCGTTTGGCTCCGTTTCCCGAAACGCTGGTCTCTGGAGTGCCTTTGACTACGGATGGCTCTGAAGACCAGGCAGGCCCAACGTCAACAAACTGGCTTCTCGCCCCCTCGTCCTCTTGTATAACTTTGGTTTCCAAAACGGGCAAGGGAACGTGGTTTGGACTACTTTTGCGTGGTGACAGCTAGGTTCCAGTTTCCAAAAAACCTGGGGAGACTTTTAACTTCTGTCCAAGTTGTCCTGTGTGTTTAATGTCACTGTGTAGAAGAAGCAGAAGCAGAAGAAGAAGGCGGCTCTCTGAAGCCCTTTCTTTCCCCCACGATACCGTCACCGTCGCGGCTGTACTTTAGAGACTGTAAATCATGTGTGTGTGTCTTTCTCTCTCTCTTTCTCTCCTTCTCTTCAATGCTAATGCTGAAAGGTTGTAAACTTTTTTTTCCTGATGCAGTTTGTAGCCATCATTGGGTCTAACATTTCAGATGTGTATATTGGTAAATAGAGGTCAAGTTTGGAAAGTCTGAGCTACAATAAATTTCTGGTTCTAAAAAAACCCCGAAATGTCCTGTTAATGTCTGTCTTCGCCCACATCTGTGGCAGGCATCCTCAGAGGTGGTGGGGTCCGTTGGAAACGAGGCAAGTGGGGTTTACATATCTGTGGAACATCCAGGATGGACAGGAGCCAGAAACAACACCAATAGATAAGTAGTTGAGTGAAGAAGAATTAAGTGAAATGTAAAACTCTCAAAGGAAAGCACAATGCTTGATTTGTGTTGTCAAAAGGCAATCGGGGCTGCTAAAACCTGCCAACAAAGTATTCCCCAGACAGCAATCAGCCAGGCTTTGAAGCTGCAAGGCTATTCACCTGCATCTATGGCAGGCATGCTCAGAGGTTGTGATTTCTTACTACCTGGGGGAATCCTTTGTTCAGAGGTGATTAGCTTTATCTCAGGGTAAAGCTTTCATGTGTCTGGGTTGCTGTAGGTTTTTCTCTCCTGATGTTTCACCTGCATCTATGGCAGGCATCCTGAGAAGTTGTGATCTCTTACTGCCTGGGGGAATCCTTTGTTCAGAGGTGTTTAGCTTTATCTCAGGATAAAGCTTTCATGTGTTTGGGTTGTTGTAGGTTTTTCGGGCTGTATGACCACATTCCAGAAGCATTCTCTCCTGATGTTTCACCTGCATCTATGGCAGGCATCCTGAGAGGTTGTGATTTCTTACTACCTGGGGGAATCCTTTGTTGAGAGATGTTTAGCTTTATCTCAGGGTAAAGCTTTCATGTGTATGGGTTGTAGGTTTTCTCTCCTGACGTTTCACCTGCATCTATGGCAGGCATCCTGAGAGGTTGTGATCTCTTACTACCTGGGGGAATCCTTTATTGAGAGGTGTTTAGCTTTATCTCAGGGTAAAGCTTTCATGTGTCTGGGTCGTTGTAGGTTTTTTGGGCTGTATGGCTATGTTCTAGAGGCATTCTCTCCTGGCATGTTGTCAAAGTCTTCCATGGCTGGAATCACTGGATTGCTGTGACCTTTCCGGGTGGTATGACCATGTACTAGAAGCATTCTCTCCTGACGTTACACCCACATCTATGGCAGACGTCCTCAGAGGTTGTGAGGTCTGTTGGAAAATAGGCAAGTGGGATTTATATAGCTGTGGAATAACATCCAGCGTGGGAGAAATAACTCTTGTCTGCTTGAAGCAAGTGTGAATGTTGCAATTGGCCAGTTTGATCAGCATCCCAACAAAGGATTCCCCCAGGCAGGAAGCAGCCAGGCATCGAAGCTGCCCTATATATCTTTGGAATATCCAGGGTGAGAGAAAGAACCCTTGTCTGTTTGAGGCAAGTGTGAATGTTGCAATTGGCCAGTTTGATTAGCATCCCAACAAAGGATTCCTCCAGGCAGGAAGCGGCCAGGCATTGAAGCTGCTCTATATATCTGTGGAATATCCAGGGTGGGAGAAAGAACTCTTGTCTGCTGGAGGCAAGTGTGAATGTTGCAATTGGCCAGCTTGATTAGCATCCCAATAAAGGATTCCTCCAGGCAAGAAGCAGCCAGGCATTGAAGCTGCTCTATATATCTGTGGAATATCCAGGGTGGGAGAAAGAACGCTTGTCTGCTGGAGACAAGTGTGAATGTTGCAATTGGCTAGCTTGAGTAGCATCCCAACAAAGTATTCCCCCAGGCAGGAAGCAGCCAGGCATTGAAGCTGCTCTATATATCTGTGGAATATCCAGGGTGGGAGAAAGAATTCTTGTCTGTTTGAGGCAAGTGTGAATGTTGCAATTGGCCAGCTTGATTATCATCCCAACAAAGGATTTCCCCAGGCAGGAAGCAACACAAAGAAGGAAGGACTCGAGACCCCGCTTCAATCAAAACAGGAATGCGCTTTATTTTGCACCTGAAATTGGAAGTAAATTCCACACGCTGAAAAAAAAAACAGTACACAAGTGGGTTTGTACAGAGTACCAAAGATTGTTTACATTCGTTTCGGGATACTGGCATTTTTTCTGAAGTGGTGTAGAGGACACGAACCCTTTGTCCACATTCACACAAGTGCAAACGAACCATTAAATACCATTTTTTTGCATCATAACACATTCAAGACGAAGGAAGAAAGTACCGCAACCGATACTCCTCTTTCGTTTCTTGGAAGAGGCCAGCTCTTCTTAGATAGGGGAGGTTATGAACACCAGTGAAGTCGTGTACCGCGCACCTTGTGCAATGACCTCTCTCCGTACCTTCCGCTCATCCTTCATCTCACACCTCGAAGGAGCTCTGGGTTTCCCCGCTTTGGGGGTGACACTCACACAAGACGTTTGCCGTTCTTTCTTACTGCCTATTGCCGGTTGTCTTTAGAGACGTTGTGGGCCAGCCAGTTCACTTTGGTTTTCCAGCTTTCCCGGAGAGCTTCGTTGAACTTGAGCTGAAAGTGTCTCCTGGCTTCTTCGTCCGTCTTTCCCAAGGCCAAGGAGTCCTATGGGGAGATGGGGGGGAGGTATGACTTCAATACTGTGGTTCTTAACCTGTGGGCCGCGGACCACCAGTGGGTCGCGAGAATGAAAATCTGATCTGCGAGCCTCCTTTCAATTTATTTATTTGTTAAAATGTCCACTCCTTTTGCGCCACCTGCCACTCCTTCCCTTTCACTGACCATGGCATATGTTCTGTACAAGAGCTGATGTGGTCTGTCCAATGCAATTTTCTGAATCAGCTGATGTGGTCTACCCAATACAATTTTCTGACTCAGCTGATGTGGTCTACCCAGTGCAATTTTCTGAATCAACTGATGTGGTCTCTCCAGTGCAATTTTCTGGATTAGCTGATGTAATCTATCAAATGCAATTTTCTGAATTAGCTGATGTGGTCTCTCCAGTGCAATATTCTGAATCAGCTGATGTAATCTATCAAATGCAATTTTTTAAATCAGCCAATGTGATCTATCTAGTGCAATTTTCCAATTCAGCAGATGTGGTCTCTTCAGTGCAATTTTCTGAACCAGCTGATGTGGTCTATCCAGCACAGTTTTCTGACTCAGCTGATGTGATCTACCCAATACAATTTTCTGAATCAGCTGACGTAGTCTGTCCAGTGATGTGGTCTATCTCAATCAGCTCATGTGTTTGACCCAATGCAGTTTTCTGAATCAGCTGATGTAGTGTACCCAGTGCAATTTTCTGAATCAGCTGATGTGAAATGTGAAATTGGTCTAGCCAATGCAATTTCCTGGATCAGCTGATGTGGTCTATCCAATGCAATTGCCTGAATCAGCACCCCAAACCGAATCTAAAGTTGACCAAAAACTGATTCGTAACTCTCTTGGTACTAATGTTGGAGAATGGTCCCTGGTCAAAGTGGCCTCTGATCAAGTGGTCCCTGGTCAAAAAAACATTTGGAACCACTGCTTTAATAGGTTGGTAGAGGAGAAGGCCAGACTTTAGCACAGCAGGTTAACCACCAGCTGCAGCAAATCTTGCCAATTGAAAGGTTGGCAATTCGAAGCCTGGGTCAGGGTAAGCTCCTGGCCTTTAGCCCAGCTTCCGCTTACCTAGCGTGTACCTAACTGTCTGTTTATATGAGTGGCTGGCTGGCTGGCTGAAAAGAGACAAGCCAGCAGTTGGTAGGAGAGTCCTCACCTTGAGGTACTGGATGTCCTTGGAGCAGCTCAGCTCAGGCAGCCCGGCGGCTTTCATGAGGGCAAACAAGTGTAGGAAGAGCAGGCCGTGGCACCGGAGGATCATGTAGGCCCTTTCGCAGTACTCTCTGAATCTGTGGGGAGGAAGGACAGGCTTAAAGCTGGAGCCCCACAACACTTGGACCCCATGGACAAGATCCTCGGGGAATCCGGGGAAGATAGATAGCGAGAGGAGGCAAATATTGAGCACTGACCGTTCAAACTTCTCGCTGTTGTTCGTTTTCCCTTGTTGGATCACGTGAACGAAGTCGTAGGTCAAGATGAAAGGGACCCGTTCGCGATTGATCCCAAACTTGGTCTTGAAGTTCCCCAAGAAGTGGCCAAAATCAATGTGAAACAGCTGAAAAGGGATGTTTATGGGTTAGGCGCGGCTAGTTAGTAGCCAGGACTGACTTTGAAGCCAGCCCAGATTGGAGTGAGCTCCCAACCATTAATAGTCTAGCTTGCTGTCAACCTATGCAGCTGCATCTGTCAAGTAGGAAATTTAGGTACCACTTTATGCTAATTTAATTTATGCTAATTTAATTTAAGACACCATAAAACCTTCCGGCAACATGCAAAAGAATGAGGAAGTACTCCATCAAAGGATGGTGAAGTGGCAGCTCCCCCTGTGGGTGGAATTGAGCATACCCTCATGAAGCCAGAAAGCTGGAATGTTAAATTGCCTCTGTGCCTATCAAATGCAATTTTCTGAATCTGCTGATGTGGTCTATCCAATAATGTGATCTATGTCAATCAGCTGATGTGGTCTACCCATTGCAATTTTCTGAATCAGCTGATGTAGTCTACCCAATGCAATTTTCTGAATCAGCTGATGTGGTCTATCCAGTGCAATTTTCTGAATCAACTGCTGTGGTCTATCCAGTGCAATTTTTTGAATCAGCTGACATGGTCTATCCAATGATGTGGTCTATGTCAATCAGCTGATGTGGTCTATCCAGTGTAATTTCCTGAATCAGCTGATGTGGTCTATCCAATGCAATTTCCTGAATCAGCTGATGTGGTCTATCCAATGCAATTTCCTGAATCAGCTGATGTGGTCTATCCAATGCAATTGCCTGAGTCAGCACCCCAAACCAAATCTAAAGTTGACCAAAAACTGATTCGTAACTCTTTTGGAACTAACACAGGCATTAGACATACGTTATGTCTAATGCCATGGAATGTTTACCGTGTAATCTGCCCTGAGTCCCCTATAAATAAATAAATTAGGGCTTCAGCCATTGCAACTGCAACCCCCAAAATCCCAGACATAAATTATGGTGGGAGTTGCAATCCAACAACCTCTGGGGGGCCACACTTTTCTTGTTGGTGTTGAGAATAAAGGGTTGATGGGCCAAATTAATGATTTTTTGGAAGGAATCCCAGGCTGTCCTTGGGCAACAATCCCGCCCTACCTGGCCGTTCTCTCGGATCATGATGTTGTCGCTGTGACGGTCTCCGATCCCCAAAACGTAGGTGGCCACGCAATACCCGGCGCAGGAGAGTGTGAACTCCTCAATGGCCCGGTCCAATGCGTCGCTGGGGGAAGAATTGAGAAATGCATTGAAAACAAAACAATTGGGATTCGAACTCTGATCTCCCGAGAACCTAGCTGAGCCTGGGAGTTTTGGCAACAGTTACATGTTTAGGTTCTCTTAAGCAGCTCCATCTTCGCTTCTTCTCTCTTTTCTTTTCAATTTATTTATCATGTCAGAAGCACATTGGGAATACGGTTATATAGAAAAACCACAAACAAAATAAAAAACTGGGCATTATGCTAAATGTCCTTTGACCAGAAGCTGGCCACTTGAAGTGCCTCTGATGTTGCTGTAAGAAGGTCCTCCATTGTGTATGTGGCAGGGATCAAGCTGTATTATAATAAGTGGCCTGTGGTTTGCTCCTCTCTGCAGTCGTATGTCGTGGACTCCACTTGGTGGCCCCATTTCTTAAGGTTGGCTTTGCATCTTGTGGTGCCAGAGCGCAGTCTGTTCAGTGCCTTCCAAGTCGTCCACTCTTCTGTGTGTCCAGGAGGAAGTTTCTCATCCAATTTCAGCCATAGATTGACTTCCGGGTTTCAGCCTGCCACTTGTGGACTCTCGCTTGCTGAGGACATCCTGCGAGTATCTCTGTAGATCTTAGGAAGTTGTTTCTTGATTTAAGTCATTGACAGGTGTCTTCACTGTGTCTAGTTGTGATCCCCAGGTTGCATCAGTCAGCTTTCACACCGTATTATTTCTAGCGTCCACTTTTTGCTTGATATCCAAGCAGTGCTTCTTGTAAGCTAGAGCACAGCCCAGGGTAACTCCCAGGTGTTGCAATGCTCTATTGAGATTCCTTCCCAGGTAATCCTCAGAGCTCAAGATGCTTGTCTGTTCTTAAGGTGGAAACCACACATCTGCATTTTAGATAGGTCAGGAATCAGCTAGTTTTCCCTGTAATAGGCAGTAAGACCACCTAAAGCTTCAGAGAGCTTCTATTCAACCATTTCAAAGCTCTCTGCTTGAGCAGTGATGGCATGAGTCAGCATAGATGAAACTCTCTGTCCCTTTTGGCAGTGGCTGATTGTTTGTGTAAATGTTAAATATTTGATGGTGCAAGCTGGTTTTCCCTGTAATTGATAGTAAGAGTATCCCAAGCTTTGGAGAGCTTCTATTTGACCGTTTCAATGTTCCCTGCTTGAGCGGTGATGGCACTCTCGTCAGCATAGATGGAACTCTCTGTCTCTTTTGGCTGTGGCTCATCATTTGTGTAAATGTTAAACATTGATGGTGGAAGCTGGTTTTCCCTGTAATAGGCAGTAAGAGCATCTAAAGCTTCAGAGAGCTTCTTTTCGACCATTTCAATGTTCCCTGCTTGAGCGATGATGGCACGATCATCAGCATAAATGGAACTCCCTGTCCCTTCTGATGGTGGCTGGTCATTTGTGTAAACATTAAACACTGACGGAGCAAGCACATTCCTCTGAAGCAGGCCGTTCTTCTGTTTCACTTCTCTGACCCTGGAACTCAACAAAAAAAGCTCTTGTTTGGTAGCAGATTTCCTACGAAGTGAGTGAGGTAGTCGTCCTTTGTGATATTATATGTTTTTTTCTCAGGAGGAGGTGATTATTTAAAGGAAAGCAAGAGTCAAAGCCATTTTGAAACCAGGCAAAGACGGTAATGATCCAAAAAGCTATAAGTAGCACCTAAAACTTCTGAGAGCTTCTGTTCAACCATTTCCAAGCTCCCTGCTTGGGTGGTGATGGCACGATCGTCAGCATAGATGAAATTCTCTGTCCCTTCTGGCAATGGCTGAACATTTGTGTAAATATTAAAGATTGATGGCCCAAGCTGGTTTTCTCTGTAATAGGCAGTAAGAGTACCTAAAGCTTCACAGAGCTTCTGTTCAACCATTTCAAAGATCTTGTTTGAGCGGTGATGGCGCGATCGTCAGCATAGATGAAACTCTTGGTCCCTTCTGGCAGTGGCTGGTCATTTGTGTAAATGTTAAACATTGGTGGTAGAAGCTGGTTTTCCCTGTCATAGGCAGTAAGAGCACCTAAAGCTTCTGAGAACTTCTGTTCAACCATTTCAGAGCTCCCTGCTTGGGTGGTGATGGCACGATCGTCAGCATAGATGAAACTCTCTGACCCTTCTGGCAGTGGCTGGTCATATGTGTAAATATTAAACATTGATGGTGAAAGCTGCTTTTCCCTGTAATGGGCAGTAAGAGCGCCTAAAGCTTCGGAGAGATTCTGTTCAACCATTTCAAAGCTCCCTGCTTGGGTGGTGATGACACGATCGTCAGCATATCCTTGTGTTATGTTTATAAAGTTCTGGAGAGATGTATCCTGCACAGAATTATGAGGAAAATAGACCCATTTATGATCTCACAGCAAGCTGGTTTCAGGAAAGGGAAAAGATGCACATCCCACATCTTGAGAAAAGTGTATAATATCATATCTTGCCCACTTCATTGAAATCTGCTACAAAACAGGAGCTTTTTTGTTGAGTTCCAGGGTTAGCTTTGCGATGAATTGAGGGGAGAAAAGTGCAGGAAGTGTAAAGGGAACCCACTTGAGATCGCCAGTGGGAAAGCTAAGCGGTGAATAAGATCCCAAAGCCAATGCTGCAGCCCGGAAACCTACCCAGGGTTCTTGGATTTCAACCAGTTCAACAAGGCATCCTTGTTGAAGGCGGCCGTGGCGGCCATATTGCTCTTGTTGAGCTGGATGTTGGCAATGGTGTCCGAGTCCATGACCACTTCGATCAATCCGGTCTTGTCTCCCGTCGAAAGGCAGCCGTACGGGGTCATCCTTTGGAGGAAAGTAAATAAAGAACGACACTCAAAAACAGGGGAACTCCGGACAAGAAAAAATCAGGGGCCAGCTAATCACCTCCCAACAAAGGATTCCCCCAGGTAGTAAGAAGCCAAACTTTGGCATTAAATGCCAATCAAGGTGGTCAAGCGTAACAATCACACTTTGTTACAGACAAGAGCAAGCCACACTCTCTCAGCCTCACGGGGAAGAGGTAAGACCCCCCCTCTGAAGAAATCTGGCCCGTCAAGGTGGATAAACTCACCGCAAGTCGAGACCTTCTTTCTTCCAGAGGATGTCCATGAGTTGAATCATTTGCAGAGTCAACATATCCTGACGAAGGTCTGCAGGATTGAGGAGGACAGAGACCATTCACTACGTATCTATTTATGACCAACACAAAAATACTGGAGGACTTTGGGAGGAAATGCATTTGATGTGGGGGAGTTGTAGTTCACCTACATCCAGAGCGCACTGTGAACCCAAACCATGATGGATCTGGACCAAACTTGGCATGCATACCCGATATGCCCAAATTTGAATACTGGTGGGTTTTAAGGGGAATTGCCCTGGACATTTGGGAGTTATAGTGACGGGATGTATAGTTCACCTGCAATCAATGAGCACTCTGGATTCCACCAAAGATGGAATTGGACCAAACTTGGCACACACAGCCCTCATGACCAGCAAAGAATATTAGAGGTCTTTGGGGAAAATTCACCTTGATTTGGGGGAGTTGTAGTTCACCTACATCCAGAGAGCACTGTGAACCCAAACGACGACGTATGTGAACCAAACTTGGAACACATACCTGATACGTTGAAATTTGATTACTGGAGGGGTTTGGGGGGAACTGACCTTCCTTTCGGGGAGTTGTAGTTCACCCCAAGCAAAGAAATGGTGGCCTCCACTCATGATGGACCTGGACCAGACTTGGCACACAGAACCTCCATGACTATTTCAACCTACTTTGAGGGGACTGGCTCACCATAGTGGGAGTTGTAGTTTACCCTGCAGCCAGAGAGCACACTGAACCCCATTGAGGATGCATCTAGAGCAAACTTCCCCAACATAACAAGCTTTTCAATACTGATGGTTTTTCGGGAGGTTTACCTGGCATGATGGGAGTTGTAGTTGACCCACAACCAGAGAAACGGTGACCTCCACCAGTGATAGACCTGGACCACATTTGGCACACAGAACCTCCATGACTATTTCAACCTACTTTGAGGGGACTGACTCACCATAGTGGGAGTTGTAGTTTACCCTGCAGCCAGAGAGCACACTGAACCCCATTGAGGATACATCTAGAGCAAACTTCCCCAACATAACAAACTTGCCCAACATAACAAACTTTTAAGTACTGATGGTTTTTCGGGAGGTTTACCTGGCATGATGGGAGTTGTAGTTGACCCACAACCTTATGCATTGTGTACAATTAATAAAATTGACTTTTTTCAATTTTATTAATTGAAAAAGTCTGGAACAAATGCAAACTTGAAGTACTGATGGAGTTTCTCAGAGTTAACCTAGCATGATGGGAGTTGTAGTTCACCCACAACCTTATGCATTTGGTACAATTAAGAAATTGACTTTTTATTGCCCTGTGGCTCGAGGCAGGGTATGACATCATTAAAGCAGTATTAAAACGCATTGATTTTGTGAGAGCTGTTCAGCAGTGGAACTCTCCGCCCTGGAGTGTGGCGGAGGTTCCTTCTTTGGAAGCTATTAAACAGACGCTGGATGGCCATCTGTTGGGGGTGCTTTGAATGCAATTTTCCTGCTTCTTGGCAGGGGGTTGGACTGGATGGCCCATGAGGTCTCTTCCAACTCTTTGATTCTAAAATACAGATGCAAATGAAAGTCCACAACTTGGAATTGTTGTGTCCACAAGGGGGAGCTCTCGCTACACAATTGTTGTCATGCCAGTTTCCCCTTTTCCTGTGTTGGAGATCATGATAAAGTAGCATGGCAGCTCAAAACAAGAACCTTGGGGTTCCCCCTTTAGAAGAGTTGTTTTTGCCATATGCAAATAAACCAAGTCTAAACGGTTTGAATCCAGATGTCGCCACGCTTGGTGCGAAACCAGCATTGGGATCATGCATTGCAGCTTTAAAAACTTATTAAAATATGAAAAAATATAAATATATAAATATTAAAAATATTTGATATATCTATATAAATAAAAAGGTCATGTTCGTTTGTGGGATTACACAGAACTCAAAAACCACTGGGGGAATTAACACCAAATTTGAACACAAGACACCTAACAACCCAATGTATGTCCTTCCCTCAAAAAAAATAGATTTTGTCATTTGGGAGTTGTAGCTGCTGGGATTTATAGTTCACCTACAATCAAAGAGCATTCTGAATTCCACCAATGATGGAATTAAACCAAACATGGCATACAGAACTCCCATAACCAACTGAAAATACTGGAAGGGTTTGGTGGACAGTGTCCTTGAGTTTGGGAGTTGTAGTTCACCTACATCCAGAGAGCACTGTGGACTCACACAATGATGGATCTCAACCCAGCTTGGCACAAATACTCACTACAATGAACCGTGAACACTAGTGGAGTTTTGGGACAATAGACCTTGACATTTGGGAGTTGTAGTTGCTAGGATTTATAGTTCACCTACAATCGAAGAGCATTCTGAACTCCACTAATGATGGAATTGAACCAAACATGGCACAAAGAATGCTCATGACCAACAGAAAATACTGGAAGGGTTTGGTGGGCATTGACCTTGAGTTTGGGAATTGTAGTTCACCTACATCCAGAGAGCACTGTGGACTCAAACAATGATAGATCTGGACCAAACTTTGCACAAATTCCCAGTATGCCCAAACGAGAACACTGGCGGAGTTTGGGGGAAACAGACCTTGACATTTGGGAGTTGTAATTGATGGGATTTATAGTTCACCTACAATCACAGAGCATTCTGAACCCCACCAACGATAGAATTGGGCCAAACCTCCCACACAGAACCCCCATGACCAACAGAGTGGGCCACAGAAAAGCAAGGCAGGGGACGGCTAGCGTGTATATATATATATATATATATATATATATATATATATATATAATATTTTATATATTTATAAAAATATTAAAAAGTTAATATTAACCAAGAAGTATGTTCAGGATCCAAAAAAGTTACTTCTTCCTACCGTCTCCATTTTTGAAAATGACCCCCACGTGGCCTCCCCCGGCGTCTTCATTATTAAACACAATCCAGAGCGGCTTCATCTTGGAATCCATGAAAGTGCATAGCTCCACACTAGAAAAAGAAAAAAAATAATTTATTACATCCATCTCTTCGAAACACACACAAGGAACAAAAGAAAAAGCTCAATCCATCTATATATACAATATATATATATTACTACCCATTAAGGCAGCATTTCTCAACCGGGGGGGTGGGGGTTGCAAGGGAGTTTCAGAGTGGTCGCCAAAGATAATCAGAAATCATATATTCCTGATGGTCTTAGGAACCCCTTTGGCAGAGAAAGATGAAGATCTCTCCACCTGTCCTTCTCTTTTTGGAAACAGACGGTTGAGGGAGAGCATGCCAGGCTGGAGGGAGGCTCATGCCAGCGTGTCCCTTCAAGGCATAGCCCTCCTCTGCTATGATCGGCTGGCCTCTCAGCCAAGGGGAGGGCTGTTTCTGAGACTCCAAGCAAGGAGGGGAGAGCAGGTGTGCTCTCCTCTAAATAATTAATTCCTCCCAAATCTCTCCAGCATTTTCTGTTGTTCATGGGAGTTCTGTGTGGGAAGTATGGCCCAATTCTATCGTTGGTGGGGTTCAGAATTCCCTTTGATTGTAGGTGAACTGTATATCCCAGCAACTACAACTGATATCGAGCTGCTTTTAGGAGGGTCTCCCCAGCCGTGGAGATCCCTGAGGACCGCACCAAAGAGAGTCCTGGAACCTTGGTGAGGCCAGCGGAAGCCAATTTCAGCGATAAAAATAATTAAATAATAAATCCTCACCAAAGCGGAAGAAGTTCAGCAATCGAGTTGTCTTTATTAGCGATTCAGCTGAGATCGGATGCATTGTAGGAATAATTCCACCACAAGCATGGTGACCGCGGCAGGACTCTCTTTGGTGCGGTCCTCAGGGATCTCCACGGCTGGGGAGACCCTCCTAAAAGCAGCTTGATATCATTTGGCGACCACAAAGGGACCCTGCTTGGAGGTCCAGACGAAATTATAGCCTAAATTTCCAAGAGGGAACCTTGGTGGTTGCCAAATGATATCAAGCTGCTTTTAGGAGGGTCTCCCCAGCCGTGGAGATCCCTGAGGACCGCACCAAAGCCTCAATCTTAGACAACTCCCAAATATCAAGGTCTATTTTTCCCAAACTCCACCAGTGTTCACATATGGGCATATTGAGGTTCCGTGCCAAGTTTGGTCCAGATCCATCATTGTTTGAGTCCACAGTGCTCTCTGGATGTAGGCGAACTACAACTCCCAAACTCAAGACCAATGCCCACCAAATCCTATTTTCTGTTGGTCGTGGGAGTTCTGTGTGCCAAGTTTGGTTCAATTCCATCGTTGGTGGAGTTCGGAATGCTCTCTGATTGTAGGTGAACTATAAATTCCAGCAACTACAACTCCCAAATGTTAAGGTCTATTTTCCCAGACTCCACATCTGGGCATGTTCAGTATTTGTGCCAACTTTGACTCAGATCCATCATTGTTTGAGTCCACAGTGCTCCCTGGATGTAGGTGAACTACAACTCCCAAACTCAAGGTCAATGTTCACCAAACTCAGTATTTTGTGTTGGTCATGGGAGTTCTGTGTGCCAAATTTGGTTCAATTCCATCACTGGTGGAGTTCGGTATGTTCTCTTATTGTAGGCGAACTATAAATCCCAGCAACTACAACACCCAAACGACAAAACCGACCCCACCAGTATTCAAATTGGGGCGTATTGGGTATTTGTGCCAAATTTGGTCCAGCGAATGAAAATACAGATATTTACATAACGATTCAAAACAGGAGCAAAATGACGGTTGTGAAGTCGCAACGAAAATAATGTGATGGTTGGGGGTCACCACAACATGAAGAACTGTATTAAGGGTTCGGGCATTAGGAAGGTCTAGAAACACTGACCTAGAGCTTTGGAGAGCTTCTGTTCAACCATTTCAAAGCTCCCTGCTCGAGTGGTGATGGCATGATCGTCAGCATAGACGAAATTCTTTGTAGGGGTCATTAGGAAGGTTGAAAAACACTGCATTATGGTAAAGTGTCCTCAGTATAAGTACGAATGCATTCAATTCTGGCTCGAGATGGATACCTGCTCTGGAGCGTTCTGATTGGCCAAAGGCTCTATTTCCCTGGAGGTGGAGCTTGTGGTCCTTACCTGACTTTGGCCAGGATGACGCTGGGGTTCAAGGGGGACTGGAGGTTGGAGAGGGCTTCCAGGTAGGTCTCCTGCCGCATGCAGGTGTGCATGAACTCCTTGGTTTGGGGCTTGGCGTTCTTCTGGGAACTGGCTTTGATGAGGTCGTTGAGTGCCTTCATCTTGTTGAGGGATTCAGTCTAGAAATTAAAGACAGGTGTGGGAACGAGATAGGGCAACGCAAGGAAAATAGACCTTTGCGACTGAAATACAACACCACCTGAGCTCTGCGAGTGCAGCATTTTTCCGAATGAAGCACAGAGTATTTGAAGATCTGAACATCTGTAGAGACACCAAGGTGCTTGTTTATAAAGCTATTCTCCCCCCAACCCTGCTGTGGCAGCCACCTCTACACAGAAGTCAACATTGACACTGAAAGACAACACCGCCTGAGCTCTGCGAGTACAGCATTCTTCCGAATGAAGCAGAGAGTGTTTGAGGATCGGGACATCCGTAGGGAGACCAAGGGGCTTGTTGATAAAGCCATTGTCCTCCCAACCCTGCTATACACCTGCAAAATGTGGACTGTCTACAGACGTCACACTCAACTCCTCGAATGATTCCATCAGTGTTGCCTCTGAAAAATCCTGAAAATCTCTTGGGTAGAGAAGCGGACAAATATCAGCGTGCTGGAGGAAGCAACAAGCACTAAAGCAATGCTCATACGCCATCAACTCAGCTGGGCGCAGCCGCAATATAACCCAGTTGTGCAATTCACAGAGACCATGAAGAAGAAAGAAAAAAAAAATACTATTATTATTATTATTATTATTATTATTATTATTATTTCTTCCTAACCTGTTTGATCAGAGCCTTCATGTGGAAAGTGCTTCCTCGGCAGTAGGCCTCCAGGATCAGGCCGAATCGTAAGGATACCGAAGGAACATGCATTTCCGACCTGGTTTTGGGGAGAGAAAGAAAGGAAACAACTCGACAGTGGCTCAGAAACATGAAGATGGCTTGGAAGTATGGAACTCACTGCCGCAAGATGGGATGCATTGAGCCAAAGCAGTTCAAGTGGGGTCAAACTGCATTCATTCTACCAAAGAAGACAGGAAGTTGGTCACTTCTTGTAATTCTCAAAATATCGTTCGCAATAAGTAAAAAGGGGATTTTTTTCCCGCCAGCAAAATGAGGAACGTGGTCAAAATATGACATACTGGTCTCATTGCATCCCCCAAGTGGCTCATTAGTTATGCGCATATTTTAAAAAACAGGAAGAAAAAAAGTGGAAAAAAATCTATCATATATTTTATGAAACAAATTTGGCACAAATATCCAATATGTCCAAATTTGAATACTGGTGGGGTTGAGGGGGGTTGATTTTGTCATTTGGGAGTTGTAGTTGCTGGGATGTATAGTTCACCCACAATTAAAGAGGATTCTGAACTCCACCAATGATGGAATTGAACCAAACTTGGCACACAGAACTCCCACGACCAACAGAAAATACTGGAAGGGTTTGGTGGGCATTGACCTTGAGTTTGGGAGTTGTAGTTCGCCTACATCCAGAGAGCACTGTGGTTTCAAACAATGATGGATCTGGACCAAACTTGGCACGAATACTCAATTTGCCCAAATGTGAACACTGGTGGAGTTTGGGGAAAATAGACCTTGACATTTGGGAGTTGTAGTTGTTGGAATATATAGTTGACCTACAATCAAAGTCCTTTCTGAACCCCACCAATGATAGAATTGGGCCAAACTTCCCACACAGAACCCACATGCCTTGAAGGGACTCGCTGGCGTGAGCCTCCTTCCAGCCTCACATGCTCTCCCTCACCCACACATGTGCACCAAGCATGCCTGCTCTCCCCTCTCCACTTGGAGTCTCAGAAACAGCCCTCCCCTTGGCTGAGAGGCTGACCAACCACAGAAGAGGAAGGCTTTTGGTGGGAGGATTTCACCATCTAGTTTCCACGCTGCCATGCGCCGAGCATGCCTGCTCTCCCCTCCTCGCTTGGAGTCTCAGAAACAGCCCTCAGCTTGGCTGAGAGGCTGGCCAACCACAGTAGAGGGCTTTTGGTGGAAGGATTTCACCGAATAGTTTCCATGCTGCCATGCACCGACCACGCCTGCTCTCCCCTCCTCGCTTGGAGTCTCAGAAACAGCCCTTTCCTTGGCTGAGAGGCTGGCCAATCACAGCGGAGGAGGGCTTTTGGTGGGAGGATTTCATCGAATAGTTTCCATGCTGCCATGCGCTGAGCACGCCTGCTCTCCCCTCCCCACTTGGAGTCCCAGAAACAGCCCTCCCTTTGGTTGAGAGGCTGGCCAATCAGAGCGGAGGAGGGCTTTTGGTGGGAGGATTTCACCATCTAGTTTCTACACTGCCATGCGCCAAGCACACCTGCTCTCCCCTCCTTGCTTGGAGTCTCAGAAACAGCCCTCCCCTTGGCTGAGAGACTGACCAGCCACAGTAGAGGAGGGCTTTTGGTGGGAAGATTTCACCATCTAGTTTCCATGCTGCGATGCACCGAGCACACCTGCTCTCCCCTCTCCACTTGGAGTCTCAGAAACATGTTTTCTGATGGTCTTTGGTGACCCCCTGAAACCCCCTCATGACCCCCCGAGTGGCCGCGACCCCCATGTTGAGAAACGCTGCTCTATATTACAACTTGGACTCCGAGTTTGAAAGAAGTGGACACAATAAACAAGAGATCACTTTTGATGGAAAGGCATCAAGAAGACAAGTACCAGGAGGAGGAACCAGGGCAGAAGGTTTGCAAGCATGCAGGTTCTGGAACAGGAACTTCAAAACTCACCTGAGGTGCCAAAAGAGGAAGTGCCCGATCTTGCGGTTGGATAAAGCCCGGCCCAAGAGGAACTTGGTTAGTTCGCAGTCTAAATAAGACTCGTATTTCAGCACCTGGACCAGTTGCAGGAGGTATTGGAACAAGTCGGCATCTCTGCACAAGGAGAAGAAGACCCACACGTCAATCAAGGATAGCTGGGAGTGGAGATGATGGGACTTGCAATCCAATACATCTCAAAGTTGTAGGAAGAACATAAACATCTCACTCCTTATTCCTTCCTGTTAATGTGGCCTGTTTACTAATTGTTATATCCTCTGTTGTTGAAGCAAGTTGGTGAGTGTGTTAACTGAAAAATGCAAAGCACGAAGCTATGCCTGAGTAGCTAGCTGAGCCTGGGAGTTTTGGAAACAGTTACATGTTTAGGTTCTCTGCGCAGGAGTTTACTGTTATCGTAGCCTGTTTACTAATTTTTATCTCCTGCGTTGGAGCATGTAAAAATAAGTTGAGTGTGTTGACTGAAAAATGCAAAGCATGAAACTGATTGGTTGGACTATGCCCGAGAAGCTAGCTGAGCCTGGGAGTTTTGGAAACAGTTACACGTTTAGGTTCTCTGTGCAGTTTACTGTTATTGTGGCTTGTTTACTAATTTTTATCTCCTGCGTTGGAGCATGTAAAAATAAGTTGATGTGTGTGTTGACTGAAAAATGCAAAGCACAAAGCTGATTGGTTGGGCTACGCCTGGGAAGCTAGCTGAGCCTGGGAGTTTTGGAAACAGTTACATGTTTAGGTTCTCTGTGCAGGAGTTTACTGCTATCGTGGACTGTTTACTAAATTTTACCTCCTGTGTTGGAGCATGTAAAAATAAGTTGGTGAGTGTGTTGACTGAAAAATGCAAAGCATAAAGCAAATTGGTTGGGCTATGCCCGAGATGCTAGCTGAGTCTGGGATTTTTGGCAACAGTTACATGTTTAGGTTCTCTGTGCAGGAGTTTACTGCTATCGTGGACTGTTTACTAATTTTTACCTCCTGTGTTGGAGCATGTAAAAATAAGTTGGTGAGTGTGTTGACTGAAAAATGCAAAGCACGAAGCTGATTGGTTGGGCTACGCCCGAAACGCTACCTGAGCCTGGGAGTTTTGGCAACTGTTACATGTTTAAGTTCTCTGTGCAGGAGTTTACTGCTATAAGAAACCCCAACTAAATGGATGTAATTTCCATACGTTGACAAGAGAGTTGAAGGCATATAGACACACATAAGCCTTCTACTCTTGGCTTTTTTACTCACGTAAGCTTTTTCAGTGAGTTGACTGTGAAGGATCCAACACAGCGATCAGGAAAGCTGAAATCCAGCAGCTCCAGGGCATTGAGGACAGGCAACTCTGGCCAGGACTGCAGCAAATAGATCATCTGTAAAAGAAGGGGAATCCATTCCCTTGAATCAAACCCATCTTCTGTAGCTTTCTAGATCTACAGTCTATAGTACCTCAATATGCTGATGATAACATAGTCTGTGCACATTCAGAAGACCTATGTCTGTTGTAGAAATCCAATATGCTGATGATAGCATAGTCTGTGCGCATTCAGCCCTACAATGTCTGTTATAGTACTTCAATATGCTGATGATAAGGTAGCCTCCGCACATTCAGGCTTACAATGTCTGTTGCAGAACTCCAATATGCTGATGGTAAGGTAGTCTGTGCGCATTCAGACCTACAATGTCTGTTATAGTACTCCAATATGCTGATGATAGCATAGTCTGTGCGCATTCAGACCTACAATGTCTGTTACAGTACTCCAATATGCTGATGATAGCATAGTCTGTGCGCATTCAGGCCTACAATGTCTGTTATAGAACTCCAATATGCTGATGATAGCATAGTCTGTGCGCATTCAGGTCTACAATGTCTGCTATAGTACTCCAATATGCTGATGATAGCATAGTATGTGAGCATTCAGGCATACAATGTCTGTTATAGTACTCCAATATGCTGATGATAGCATAGTATGTGCCCATTCAGACCTACAACCTGTAAACCACCCTGAGTCGCCTTTGGGCTGGCAAAAGGCAGTATAAAAATAAGGTAAATAAATAAATAGTCTGTGCACACTCAGAAGAAGACCTACAACATCTGTTATAGAACTCCAATATGTTGATGATATCTTAGTCTGCCCTGTAAACCGCCCTGAGTCGCCTTTGGGCTGAGAAAGGCAGTATAAAAATAAGGTAAATAATTAAATAGTCTGTGCGTATTCAGAAGAAGACTTACAACATCTGTTATAGAACTCCAATATGCTAATGATAACGTAGTCTGTGCACTTTCCGAAGAAGACCTACAATATCTGTTATAGAACTCCAATATGCTGATGATAACACAGTCCGCCCTGTAAACTTCCCTGAGTCGCCTTTGGGCTGAGAAAGGCAGTATATAAATAAGGTAAATAAATAATAGCCTGTGCACACTGAGAAGAAGGCCTACAACATCTGTTGTAGAACTCCAATATGCTGATGATAATGTAGTCTGTGCACATTCAGAAGACCTCATGCTTGAAGGCACCTGCGTGAAGGGCTCTGACTCCTCACCTGAGCAACGTCTTCGTGTTTATTCCACTTGGTGACCACCAAGAGCTTTGCCAAGGCGTGGGGGAACTGCTCTCGGATCTGGTGCCTCATCTTCCACACAAGGTCCTTCTCGTGTTCATAGAGGTCGGTGTGGGACCGGCGCTCCAGGATTTCCTTCAGCTGTTGCTTCTGTGAAGGAAGGGAAAAGAATCAAAGTGAAGAGGAAAAGGAAGTCGAAATAAGGGACTTGAGGAAAATGTCATCTCAGGAAGGAATAATGGAAGTAGCCTAGATAAGGTACAATAATAATAATAATAATAATAATAATAATAATAATAATAATAATAATAATATAATTATTAATACATTATTATTAACAATAATGGAAGTAGCCTATATAAGATACAATAATAATAATGATAATATTGTACCTTATATAGGCTATTATTATTAATAATAATGGAAGTAGCCTATATAAGGTACAATAATAATAATAATAATAAAAATAATTAATAATAATAACAATTTAATTATTAATAAATTATTATTATTATTAATAATAATGGAAGTAGCTTTATAAAGTATAATAATAATAATAATAATGTAATAAATAATAATACTAATGGAAGTAGCCTATATAAGGTACAATAATTATTATTTAATAATAATAATAATTTAATTATTAATAAATTAATAATAATAATAATAATAATAATAATAACGGAAGTAGCCTATATAAGGTACAATAATAATAATAATAATAATAACAACAACAACAACAACAACAACAACAACGGAAGTAGCCTATATAAGATACAATAATAATAATAATAATAATAATAATTTTAAAATAATTATTAATAATAATAATTTAATAATAATAATAATACTAATAATAATGGGTTTGACACATGGGACGTACACAAAAATAGCACAAAACATCTCCCAACCCCAACCCCCCTAAATTCTTGAGTCTGGATTTACCTCCTCTGGATCCTCAACCATGGAGAAGGAAGACTGCCCATTCTTTCCCTGCTCCAGGATCTGAAAAATAAACACAATTTGGTTTTTTTTTTTTAGTGTCTTGCAAGATTTCATCTGATCCACTCTCCCGCACCCCCAAGAGTTGTAGGAATTACAAAAAATTACAGTGAAACACGAGAAGTTATTCAGTCCTCATCGACAAAGGATCCCCCAGGCAGCAACCAGCCAGGCTTTGAGGCTGCAAGGCCATTCAGTGCTAATCAAGGTGTCAATTACAACATTCACACTTGCCTCAAGCAGACAAGAGTTATTCCACAGCTCTATAAACCTCACTTGCCTAGATTCCAACAGACCTCGCAACCTTTGAGGACGCCTACCACAGATGTGGATGAAACGTCAGGAGAGAATGCTTCTGGAACATGAAAACTCACAGCATCCCATAGAAAATATTCTCTTTTCGAGATGTTACTAAATCAGGCCGTACCTGTTCCAAGGTGGGATAGTACAGTGGGCTCGATGAAATGGCGGGGAACCGGATGACCAAGGAGGCGGCGCTCTCAGTGTTGGGGTTGGTCTGGACCGTGCCCATGGGGTTCAACAGCTCTCCTTTCTCATCTGGAAAGCAAAGGAGTTGATCCAGAACCATTTAGAATCCTAGAGTTGGAAGAAATCTCACACTGAGGCCTTTCTCCCACTGAGGGCTCTCTCAGACTGGGGCCTTTCTCCCACTGAGGTGAACTGACACTAGAATCATAGAGTTGGAAGAGACCTCATGGGCCATCCAGTCCAACCCCATTCTGCCAAGAAGCAGGAAAATCCCATTCAAAGCACCCCCGACAGATGGACCTCCAGCCTCTGTCTAAAAGCCTCCAAAGAAGGAGCCTCCACCACACTCCAGGGCAGAGAGTTCCACTGCTGAACAGCTCTCACAGTCAGAACATCCTTCTTTGCTTCCACGCCGGGCTTCTTTCTCATGCAGTTAAACAGCTACGCTCTCACAGAGACTCTTCTCACACCGGAGTTGCACAGGAGATTCACACAGTAGCTTTTTACACACAACAGCCTTCACACTGGAGCTTCTCACACTGAGGCATTCTCCTAATGAGGCCTACTAACACTGAGGCCTTCCTCACATTGAGGCCTTTCTCCTACTGAGGGCTCTCCCAGACTGGAGCCTTTCTCCTACTGAGGGCTCTCAGACGGGCCTTTCTCCCACTGAGGGCTCTCTCAGACTGGGGCCTTTCTCCTACTGAGGGCTCTCTTGACTGGGGCCTTTCTCCTACTGAGGGCTCTCTCAGACTGGGGCCTTTCTCCTACTGAGGGCTCTCTCAGACTGGGGTCTTTCTCCCACTGAGGGCTCTCTCAGACTGGGGCCTTTCTCCCACTGAGGCGGACTAACACTAGAATCATAAAGTTGGAAGAGACCATGTGGGCCATCCAACCCCATTCTGCCAAGAAGCAGGAAAATCCCATTCAAAGCACCCCCAACAGATGGCCATCCAGCCTTTGCTTAAAAGCTTCCAAAGAAGGAGCCTCCATCACACTCCGAGGCAGATTGTTCCACTGCTGAACAGGTCTCTCTCGCAGTCAGTTCTTCCTCATGTTCAGGTGGAATCGCCTTTCTTTCCTGTCGTTTGAAAACATCCTTCCGCGTCCTAGTCTCCAGGGCAGCAGAAAACAAGCTTGCTCCCTCCTCTTCACTGAGCCTCTTCTCACACCGGAGTTACACAGTAGCCTTCACATTGGAGCGTCTTCTCACACTGAGGCATTCTCCTAATGAGGCCTACTAACACTGAGGCCTTCCTCACAGTGAGGCCTTTCTCCCACTGAGGGCTCTCTCAGACTGGGGCCTTTCTCCCACTGAGGGCTCTCTCAGACTGGCAGACTTTCTCCCAGTGAGACAGACTAACACTAGAATCATAGAGTTGGAGGAGACCTTGTGGTTAATCCAACCCCATTCTGCCAAAAAGCAGGAAAATCACATTCAAAGCACCCCCGACAGATGCCCATCCAGCCTCTGCTTCAAAGCCTCCATAGAAGGAGCCTCCACCAGACTCTGGGGCAGAGAGTTCCACTGCTGAACAGTTCTCTCTCACAGTTCTTCCTCGTTTGAAGACATTCTTCCACGGCCTAGTCTCCAGGGCAGCAAAAAACAAGCTTGCTCCCTCCTCTTCTCTGAGCCTCTTCTCACCCTGAGGCCTACTAACATTGAGGCCTACCTCACAATGAGGCATTCTCCTACTGAGGCCTACCTCACACTGAGTCCTTTCTCCCACTGAGGGCTTTCTCAGACTGGGGCCTTTCTCCCATTGAGGCAAACTAACACTAAAATATCAGAATCTTAGAGTTGGGCCATTGAGTCTATCCCCATTCTGCCAAGAAGCAAGAAAACCACCTTCAAAGCACCTCCAACAGATGGCCATCCAGCCTCTGTTTGAAAACCTCCAAAGAAGGAGCCTCCATCACACTCCGGGGCAGAGAGTTCCACTGCTAAACAGCTCTTTCTCACAGTTTTTCCTCATGTTCAAGTGGAATCTTCTTTCTTTCCTGTCGTTTGATGACAAGTTCGCTCCCTCCTCCCTGTGGCTTCCTCTCACATATTTATACATGGCTATCATGTCTCCTCTCAGCCTTCTCTTCTTCAGGCTAAACATGCCCAGCTCCTTAAGCCGCTCCTCATAGGGCTTGTTCTTCAGACCCTTGATCATTTGAGTCGCCCTCCTCTGGACACATTCCAGCTTGTCCACATCTCTCTTGCCCAGAATTGGACACAGTATTCCAGGTGTGGTCTAACCAAGGCGGAACAGAGCATGGGGAGCATGCCTTCCCGGGATCTAGACACTATAGAGGCCCAAATCTCATTGGCATTTTTTTAGATTCCCCCCTCTCTCCTCCCAAAATCCTACCTGGAAAGGACGACCACATTGGTAGGCAGCATTCTCCGGTTTTCAGTTGGTCTCGGTAATCAAACAGCATGACGTTCACCCAGGCAATTGGGCAATCCTATACGTTTGCGGCGGAAGGATGAGTAGGTCACATAAGAGCGGCCATGTAGGGTCAAAACACTCCTCTTCTCACGATGGTCAAACAATTGGCAAAGGCTTCGAAAGGTAAAGGTTTCCCCTTGACATTACGTCTGGTCTACTCACATTTGAATCTTTTCGAACTGCTAGGTTGGCAGAAGCTGGGGCTAACAGCGGGAGCTCATCCCACCCCCTGGATTTGCACCACCGACCTTTGGGTCAGCAAGTTCAGCAACTCAGCGGTTTAACCCTCTGCGCCACTGTACAATACAGTACTATATATATATATATATATATATATATATATATATACACACACACTATATATATAGTACAATGAAGTACTATACAAAAATATATTTGTTTACATTTCTAAGCCGAAGAGCCGGCGTTGTCCGTAGACACCTCCAAGGCCATGTGGCCAGCATGACTGCATGGAGCGCCGTTACCTTCCCACCGGAGCGGTACCTATCGATCTACTCACATTTGCATGTTTTAAAACTGCTAGGTTGGCAGAAGCTGGGGTTAACAGCTGGAGCTCACCCCGCTCCCTGAATTCGAACCACTGACATTTCGGTCAGCACGTCCAGCACTCTTAACTCTTTCCTATTCTTTTCTATGGCACACAGCAAAAAGAGCAGAGGTTTAAAGGAGTTGTAGGTCCTGGGATGTATAGTTCACCTGCAGTCTAAGAGCACTCTGAACTCCACCAACGATAGACCTGGGACTAACTTGGCACACAGAACACCCATGACCAACAGAACATATTGGAGGTCTTTGACGGGTCTATTGTCAGTGGAAGTCACAGTTTCTATGGATGTGGGTAAACTACAACTCCCTGAAAAGAAGGTGAGCTCCCCTCGGACCCCTCCAAGATGTTTGGTTGGTCATGGGGGTTCTGTGTTCCAAGTTTGATTCACACAGAACCCCCATGACCAACAACACATAGTGGAGGTCTTTGGAGGGATTTAGAGGAGTTGTAGTTCACCGACATCTAGAACGTACTATGAACCCAAAAAATGATGGATCTGGACCAAACTTGGCATGCATACCTGATAGGCCCAAATTTGAATACCGGTGGGTTTTGATGGGAATTGGGCTGGACATTTTGAAGTTGTAATTACTGGGATTTATAGTTCACCTACAATCAATGAGCACTCTGGACTCCACCAAAGATGGGTTTGGACCAAACTTGGTACAGAGCCCCCTTGACCAGCAAAAAATACTGGAGGCGTTTGGGGGGAAATCACCTTGATTTGGGAGAGTTGTAGTTCACCTACATCCAGAGAGCACTGTGAACCCAAACACCGATGGATCTGGACAAAACTTTTTTTTGGGGGGACGGGGACAGGGACTGACCTTCGTTTCTGGGAGTTGTAGTTCACCCACAACCAGAGAAATAATGATCTCCACCGATGATGGATTTGGAGGTATTTGGGGGGAAGTCACCTTGATTTGTGGGAGTTGTAGTTCACCCACTTCCAGAGAGCACTGTGAACCCAAACATTGATGGATCTGGCCCAAACTTGGCACACATACCCGATATGCCAAAGATTACTGGAGGGCTTTGGAGAGCCCTGACCTTTATTTCTGGGAGTTGTAGTTCACCCACATTCAGAGAAACAGTGACCTCCACCGATGATGGACCTGGACCAAACTTGGAACACAGAACCCTCATGACGAACTCAACCTATTGGAGGGGTTTGAGGGGACTGACTCATCATAGTGGGAGTTGTAGTTCACCCACATTCAGAGAAACAGTGACTTCCACCGATGATGGACTTGGACCAAATTTGGCACACAGAACCCTCATGACTAACTCAACCTATTGGAGGGGTTTGAGGGGACTGACTTATCATAGTGGGAGTTGTAGTTCACCCTGCAGCCAGAGAGCACACTGAACCCCACCGATGATGCATTTACTTATAGTTCGACTTGGAGGCGAACGTTAAAGTTGTCCAGCCAGTAAAAAAACAATGTAAACAGGGCATTATCGAAAGCGACTCCCCATCAGAAGAGACGCAAAGGGCAGGCAGATTAGATTATTGTCTGGAGAAAAATGTCAAGTACGCAATGACTCGGCATCCCGGGAAGAGTTGCAGCATGACTCAGCAGGACGAGCACAGGCAAGACCTATTGGCCAGCCCAATTCCTGCTACAGAATAATCGCTTTGTTCCCTTGTTTTGTGTTTTTCTGTGAACTTCAAGCACACAACGTCATGCTACAGAATTGCTACATCTCATTTCCAAGGAATCAGTAGTTCTGGAGAAAGCTCCAGTTTCACTGGGAGGTCAAGGACAGCTGGAAAGCCACCCAACGGATGGTAAGGTGATAACAACCATTTCCTCAAAGGATGACAGAAGATTTTAGAAACACTTAACGTACCACTGAACACATCAAAAGAAGTGCAGTTGGATTTGACTTCCAGTTCATGAGTGAGAGACTCCTAGAAGCTTTCCAGGGATCTCTAGGTCTTTTAGCACAACTCCATAATCAACGTCCACAAAAAGTTGGTGGATTTGAGGACCTAGAGATTCTTAAATACTCTCTGGGATTCTCTAGGTCTTTTAGACAACTCCATGATCAACGTCCACCCAAAGTTGGTGGATTTGATGACCTAGAGATTCTTAGATTCTCTCTGGGATTCTCTAGATCTTTTAGCACAACTCCACGATCAACGTCCACCAAAAGTTGGTGGATTTGATGACCTAGAGATTCTTAGATTCTCTCTGGGATTCTCTAGATCTTTTAGCACAACTCCATGATCAACGTCCACCCAAAGTTGGTGGATTTGATGACCTAGAGATTGTTAGATTCTCTCTGGGATTCTTTAGATCTTTTAGCACAACTCCATGATCAATGTCCACCAAAAGTTGGTGGATCTAAGGGCCTAGAGATTCTTAATTCTCTCTGGGATTCTCTAGGTCTTTTAGCACAACTTCATGATCAACATCCACCAAAAGTTGATAGATCTGAAGACCTAGAGATTCTTAGATTCTCTCTGGCATTCTCTAGATCTTTTAGCACAACCCCATGATCAACGTCCACCCAAAGTTGGTTGAGTTGAGGGCCTAGAGATTATTAATTCTTTCTGAGATCCTATAGGTCTTTTAGCATGACTCCATGACAAGCATCCACCCAAAGTTGGTGGAGTTGAGGGCCTAGAGATTCCTAGATTGTCTCTGGGATTAGCTAGGTCTTTTAGGACGACTCAATGATCAACGTCCACCAAAAGTTGGTGGAGTTGTGGACATAGAGATTCTTAATTTTCTCTGGGATCCTCTAGATCTTTTAGCATGACTCCATGATCAACATCCACCCAAAGTTGGTAGAGTTGAGGGCCTAGAGATTCTTAGATTCTCTCTGGGGTTCTCTAGCTCTTTTAGCACAACTCGATGATCAATGTCCACCAAAAGTTGGTGGAGTTGAGAACATAGACATTAATTCTTTCTGGGGTCCTCTAGGATTTTTAGCACGACTCCATGATCAACGTCCACCAAAACTTGGTGGATCTGAGAGCATCGAGTTTCTAAATTCTCTCTAGGATTGTCTTGGTCTTTTAGCACGACTCCATGATCAACGTCCACCAAAAGTTGGTGGATTTGAGGACCTAGAGATTCTTAATTCTTTCTGGGATCCTCTAGGTCTTTTAGCATGACTCCATGATCAACGTCCACCAAACGTATGTTAAGGACCTGGAGATTCTTAGATTCTCTCTGGGATTCTCTAGATCTTTTAGCATGACTCCATGACCAACATCCACCAAGAGTTGGTGTTGAGGGCCTAGAGATTCTTAGATTCCCTCTGGGATTCTCTAGCTCTTTTAGCACAATTTCATGATCATCTTCCACCCAAAGTTGGTGGAGTTGAGGACCTAGAGATTCTTAATTCTCTCTGGGATCCTCTAGGTCTTTCAGCATGATTTTACGATCAAAATCCACCAAAAGTTAGTGGAGTTGAGGTCCTAGAGATTCTTAATTCTCTCTGGGATTCTCTAGATCTTTTAGCATGACTCCATGATCAACATCCACCCAAAGTTGGTGGAATTAAGGGCCTAGAGATTCTTAGATTCTGTCTGGGATTCTATAGGTCTTTTAGGACAACTCAATGATCAACGTCCACCCAAAATTGGTGGGTTTGAGGACCTAGAGATTCTTAATTCTCTCTGGGATTTTCTAGATCTTTTAGCACAACTCCATGATCAACGTCCACCAAGAGTTGGTGGACTTGAGGGCCTAGACATTCTTAATATTCTCTGGGATTCTCTAGCCCTTTTAGCACGACTCCATGATTAACGTCCATCCAAAGTTGGTGGAGTTGAGGGCCTAGAGATTCTTAGATTCTGTCTGGGATTCTATAGGTCTTTTAAGTCTCCACAATCAACTTCCACCAAAAGTTGACCACTATGTCCCCGTTCTCTTGCCTGGATCCAAGCCAACTTATCTCCAGGAGGACTTACCGCTTTCTTGGACTTCTTCTTGGTGGACCTTGCCTTCTTGGCTTTCTCCACAACGGCGTAGAGGGCCAGGCAGAGCCGTGCCATGCGAGGCAAGTCGCAGACGTTGATCTCAAACTCCAGCCTCTGGCCCCACACCGGCTCCGAGCAGACGCTGACCTCCGAGCTGGAGACCATCTTGCAGAGCATCTCGTGGCCATGGTACAGGCCGGCCTGGACCACCAACTGGAAAGGAAGGCAGGGCAAAATGGAAGAACGACACAGCTGAGTTTCCAAAGAAGCATTTTCCACCTTCAAGACAGGTGGGAAAGCGCCTGGTTGACGTGGGACCAAGAGTGGCCCAGCAGCATCAGGAGGAGGAACAACAGCAGAAGCAGCTTAGACAATTTGTAAATCTATTTATATTAGAAAATAGTCCGTATTTCCTTTTGTTTTTTTTTTAATTAAAGCTCCTATTAGAAAATGCATAAGGATATGGGTGAACTACAACTCCCAAAATTGTGAGTCAGTCCTCCCCAAATCCCACCAGTATTCACAGTTGGCCTGTGTGCCAAGTTTTGGTCCAGATCCATCATCGTTTGAGTCCACAGTCCTCTCTGGACGTAGGTGAACTACAACTCCCAAACTCAAGGTCAACTCTCACCAAACCCTTCCAGTATTTTATGTTGGTTGTGGGAGTTCTGTGTGCCAAGATTGGTTCGATTAAATCGTTGGTGGAGTTCAGAATGTTCTTTGATTGTAGGTGAACTATAAATCCCAGCAACTACAACTCCCAAATGTCAAGGTCTATTTTCCCCAAACTCCACCTGTGTTCGCATGTGGGCATCTTGAGCATTTGTGCCAAGTTTGGTCCAGATCCATCGCTGTTTGAGTCTGGATGTAGGTGAACTACAACTCCAAAATTCAAGGTCAATGCCCACCAAAGTATTTTCTGTTGGTCATGGGAGTTCTGTGTGCCGAGATTGGTTCAATTACGTCGTTGGTGGAGTTCAGAATGATCTTTGATTGTAGGTGAACTATAAATCCCAAAACCCACAACTCCCAAATGTCAAGGTCTATTTCCCCCCAAACTCCACTAGTGTTCCCATTTGGGCATCTTGAGCATTCGTGCCAAGTTTGGTCCAGATCCGTCATTGTTTGAGTCCACAGTGCTCTCTGGGTGGAGGTGAACTATAACTCCCAAACTCAAGGTCAATGCCCACCAAACTATTTTCTGTTGGTCATGGGAGTTCTGTGTGCCAAGTTGGGTTCAATGCCATCATAGGTAGAGTTCAGAATGCTCCTTGATTGTAGGTGGACTATAAATCCCAGCAACTACAACTCCCAAATGACAAAATCAATCCTATTCCCAACCCCACCGGTATTCAAATTTGGGCATATTGGGTATTTGTGCCAAATTTGGTCCAGTGAATGCAGATCAGATATTTACATTACGATTCATAACAGGAACAAAATGACAGTTGTGAAGTAGCAACGAAAATATAATGTTATGGTTGGGGGTCAACACAATACGAGGAACTGTATTAAGGGGTCATGGCATTAGGAGGGTTAAAAAACACTGCTTTAGAGAAACTCGAGCTGCATGAAAACAATATCCTGGTAGGGGAGAAGTTTGTCACACGATTTGGTGGGAAACAACACGATTTCATGATTGTTTATTAACAGCCAGTTCAGGCAACATTGGCTTTGGAGGGAGAAGCTAGGCCTGAGTTCTCGTGTCAAGTCAAGTCCTGGTTTTAGATTCAAGTATCCTGAGTCTAAATTCTTGTTTTATGAAGTTCATCACCTGATTTTGAAGTCGAACATGACCCCCCCCCATAAAAGATAGTAACTTATAGTTTTCCTAAGAACAAGGAAAAATGTATAAAAAATATAAGGAGCCACCCTCCGTGACCCTGGAAAGAAGGAAATCCTCAGTTGAAAAGACCCTTATCAAAAGACACTTTTTGCATGGACAATAACAATGGATCGTGACCCCTGGGGCTCGGAGTTGGTCCCCCCAGAGGAGGCGGTTGCTTGGAATTAATGATCATATCTCAATAGGACAAAAGGGGTCTTCGGAAAGCCACACTTTGTCCTGATCTGTTACTCATTTAAATCTTCCTCCACCAAAACTTCAGTTAGACTTCCTCATTGTTCCCATATCTCGGCACTCAGAAAATCCGGATCTAGCAGACTTGCCAGATATCAACATTTATTGCTTTCAATCATAGACAATAGAATAGGCCGGCTTGCAGGCCCTCGGGACTCGCTGACCGCTTGGACATTTCCTAACTCCATAATCCTCTCAAGAATCCATTGTTTCCCTCTCATCCCACCTCCCTCTCTCCTGATTCGTCAGGCGGCCAAGCCTCCTCCCAGCTGTAGCGCGCCAGCCAATCATCGTTGAGCCGGCAGAGGGGCGGGGAGCGGGAAATTCAAACTGACAGCTCTGTTTCTGTATTAAAAAAGCTTTTATTTTTGCTTGGCGAAATATTGCTGCTTTGCATCCTTTCCAACTGGATCGCAATAAAATCAACTCGGTGGCGCTTCCTTCAACTTTGGTGAGATTCTTTTGGGAAATTAGGGAAATCTTTTCAATTGCGGCTTCTATTTGCTCACCATTGTCGCGAGCCCTCTTTGGTGGGTCCGCAGGGTCTCTCCTTCAGGGCAAGACCCTTTTAAATTCTTCCTCGATTTCAATTTGGGGCTTTTTGATGTCAGTGCTATTTGAGGACGAGTTATAAACTACTACAATGCAGGAAGAGAAGCTATTCAGCTCAGAGAAGAAAAAGAGACACAAACATAACTATTCACAAAAATACTGACCTTCATCCGCTCGTCCGCATTGACTTTACTGCCCTGCACCAACTCAATAGAGTAAGGTTGCTCAATGGACCACAGAGACACCGACATTGGCTAAAAGGGGGCAGAGGGGAGATATCATCATTGAGATTACAAATCGAAGATGTTGTTATATGTGCCTCCAAGTCACTGATCAACTTTGATATGAAACATTCCACTTATGTTGTAGTTTCACAGATAGGGAAATAAACAATTCTTAAATTATTCTCTTATTTGGGATGTTGAAATCATCTATCGGACAGACGGAAAGCCAAAAACAGGGTCACAACAACATCTCTTATAGAACTCCAATATGCCGATGATAACACCATCTGTGCACATTCAGAAGAAGACCTACATTGTCTGTTATAGAACTCCAATATGCTGATGATAACATAGCCTGTGCACATGCAGAAGACCTATGTCTGTTATTGAACTCCAATATGCTGATGATAACATAGTCTGTGCTCATTCAGTAGAAGACCTACAACTTCTGTTATTGAACTCCAATATGCTCATGATAATGTAGTTTGTGCGCATTCAGACCTACAATATTTGTTATAGAACTCCAATATGCTGAAGATAAAATAGTCTGTACGCATTCAGACCCACAATGTCTGTTACTGAACTCCAATATGCTGATGATAATGTACTCTGTGCGCATTCAGACCTACAACATCTGTTGTAGAACTCCAATATGCCGATGATAATGTAGTCTGTGCGCATTCAGACCTACAATGTCTATTATAGTACTCCAATATGCTGATGATAATGTAGTCTGTGTGCATGCAGAAGAATAACAATGTCTGTTATTGAACTCCAATATGCCGATGATAATGTAGTCAGTGCACATGCAGAAGACCTACTTCTGTTATAGAACTCCAATATGCTGATGATAACATAGTCTGTGTGCATTCAGAAGAAGACCTACAACGTCTGTTACAGAACTCCAATAGGCCGATGATAATGTAGTCTATGCGCATGCAGAAGACCTACAATGTCTGTTACTGAACCCCAATATGATGATGATAACGTAGTCTGTGCGCATTCCGAAGAAGACCTACAATGCCTGTTACAGAACTCCAATAGGCCGATGATAATGTAGTCTGCGCACATGCAGAAGACCTACAATGTCTGTTGCTGAACCCCAATATGTTGATGGTAATGTAGTCTGTGCACATTCAGAAGAGGACCTACAACATCTGTTATATAACTCCAATATGCCTATGATAATGTAGGTTGTGCACATTCAGAAGAATACCTACAACATCTGTTATAGAACTCCAATATGCTGATGATAATGTAATCTGTGCGCATTCAGAATATTCTGAATGTGCTCTTCCAGCAGGCACCAGCTAATCCCAGCCAAGACACTACACTTGGCGGACCATCATCCTCAGGCTATGAGGGAGCACCTAAGTAAGTAAAGTATCTGGGATTGAGGACATTTAGGGACATAGTAGAGCAATGCCGTACCTTTTTCTTGGGGACTGGAGGTGCTTTGGTGGCTGTTTTGATAGGATGGGAGATCCCATTGGTCTGCTCTTCCCACAAAGCCAGGATGGAGGAGGAGTGCACCATGGTGAGGTGGGGAAGGAGGCCGCGGCAGAGGCAGTCCCGGATGTACTGCGGAGAGACGCCGTACAGAGCGGACATAAACACCCGGGAAGTTCCAAACAGGGATGGGAAACAGTGCAAGAATTGGGAATGGAGAGGGTGTTAGTTCGGCTCAGAGTATAGTCTCAAAGGAAAGGGTGAGTAACTACAACAGAAACTACATTTTACAAAATTCAAGTTTCTAGTCCTTCTGGAGAAAGGCTGAAACTTTTTGAAGGAAAGAATAACAAGGAAGTCAACCGTGGAGACAGCTTTTGTCAGGGTTGGCCTCTCTTAAACTATCATTTCCCCAAAAGCTAAGCAACTGTGTTTGTGCTTTCCTTTCCCCTTTCCTTTCTCGTAAGATAGGGACGGCATTCTCTTTTCTTTTTTTTAAGTAAGCCACTCTGAGATCCTTCCTTACACATTTTTTTCTAATTATATTGTTGGTGATATGTGCCTTCAAGTCATTTCTGACTTATCGGGCCTACTTCCTCCCTTTACCAGCTCTGAGAAGAATGCTTATCCCTTCTCCAAATCTGAGAAGAAGGCCTACTTTCTCCCTTCCCCAGCTCTAAGGCATACTTTCTCCATTCCCCAGCTCTAAGGCCTATTTTCTCCATTCCCCAGCTCTGAGGCCTACTTCCTCCAGCTCCAAGAAGGCCTATCTTCTTTCTCCAGCTCTGAGAAGAAGCCCTACTTTCTCCCTTCTCCAGCTCTGAGAAGAAGCCCTACTTCCTCGCTTCCCCAGCTCTGAGAAGAACACTCACTTTCTCCCTTCCCCAGCTCTAAGGCCGACTTCCTCCAGCTCTAAGAAGGCCTACTTCCTCCCTTCTCCAGTTCTGAGAAGAACAATGACTTTCTCCCTTCCCCAGCTCTAAGGCCAACTTCCTCCAGATGTAAGAAGGCCTGTTTTCTCCTTTCTCTAGCTCTAAGAAAAAGGCCTACTTCCTCCCTTCCCAAGCTCTGAAAAGAACACTTACTTTCTCCCTCCCCAGCTCTAATGCCGACTTTCTCCAGCTCTAAGAAGACCTGCTTTCTCCTTTCTCCAGCTCTAAGTAGTCCTACTTTCTCCTTTCTCAGGCTCTGAGAGGGCCTACTTCCTCCATTCCCCAGCTCTGAGAAGAACACTTACTTTCTCCCTCCCCAGCTCTAAGGTCAACTTCATCCAGCTCTAAGAAGATCTGCTTTCTCCAGCTCTAAGAAGACCTACTTTCTTCTTTCTCCAGCTCTGCGAAGACCTACTTCCTCACTTCCCCAGCTCTGAGAAGAACACTTACTTTCTCCCTCCCCAGCTCTAAGGCCAACTTCCTCCAGCTCTAAGAAGACCTGCTCTCTCCTTTCTCCAGCTCTGAGAAGACCTACTTTCTTCTTTCTCCAGGTCTGAGAAGACCTGCTTCCTCCCTTCCCCAGCTCTGAGAAGAACACTTACTTTCTCCCTCCCCAGCTCTAAGGCCAACTTTCTCCAACTCTAAGAAGACCTGCTCTCTCCTTTCTCCAGCTCTGAGAATACCTACTTTCTCCTTTCTCCAGCTCTGAGAAGACCTGCTTCCTCCCTTCCCCAGCTCTGAGAAGAATACTTACTTTCTCCCTCCCCAGCTCTAAGGCCAACTTCCTCCAGCTCTAAGAAGACCTGCTTTCTCCTTTCTCCAGCTCTGAGAAGACCTACTTTCTCCATTCTCCAGCTCTGAGAAGACCTACTTCCTCCCTTCCCCAGCTCTGAGAAGAACACTTACTTTCTCCCTCCTCAGCTCTAAGGCCGACATCCTCCAGCTGTAAGAAGACCTACTTCCTCCCTTCTCCAGCTCTGAGAAGGCCACATGGTAATTTTTTTTGGAAGAATTAGAATAAACTTTACTTTTGCCTCCCTCTGAGCTGAGAGAGTGCGACCTGCCCGAAGCAAGGGAGGGAAGGAGGGAGGGCACACATACCTGGAACTGGTACAAGGGGTAGTTTCCATAGAGGTATTCATATTTCCCGTTAATCTGCAAAGCATAATCTTCAGGGCTGTTTACTTTTTGGTGACGGAAAACCGTCGCTTGCTTCTTGATGGCGTAGCTCATGAGGGTGGCAGGGAACTCCTTGGGGGAGATCTGGAAGGTAAAACTTTCCTGTGGGACCCAGAAAGAAAGAAACAACATGGTTTGCAAATACGTTTTCACATCCGTACATCAACTACAAAGCTCAAGGTCGACTTTCCCCAAACTCCACCAGTGTACACATTTGGGCATATTGAGAATTCGTGCCAAGTTTGGTCCAGATCCATCATTGTTTGAGTCCACAGTGCTCTCTGGACGTAGGTGAACTACACCTCCCAAACTCAAGGTCAATGCCCACCAAACCCTTCCAATTTTTTTCTGTTCGTCATGGGAGTTCTGTGTGCCAAGTTTGGTTCAATTCCATCGCTGGTGGAGTTCAGAGTGCGCTTTGATTGTAAGCGAACTATAAATCCCAGCAACTACAACTCCCAAATGACAAAATCAATCCCCTCCAACTCCACCAGTGTACAAATTTGAGCGTATCGGGTATTTGTGCCAATTTTTGTCCAGTGAATGGAAAGGGTTAGACAAAATTAGTGGTAAATGACACGATTTCATGAGTGCTTATTAACGACCAGTTGTTTACCTTATAGTTAGTTCAGGCAAGGTTAGCTTTCAAGGGGGAAGCTAGGCCTGAGTTCTTGTGTCAAGTCAAATCCTGGTTTTGAATTCAAATATCCTGGAAGTTTTCTATGTTCTTGTTTTATTATTCCTGCTCAAGGTTTTCTAAGTATACCCTTTGTTTATGGATATGTGCTGTGCTTGTGAGTTTTGGCTATTCCTGGACTGCTCTGAGAAGGACTTTCTCCCTTTCCCAGTTCTGCAAAGGCCTACTTCCTCTCTTCTCCAGGTGTAAAAAGGCCTACTTTCTCCCTTCCCCAGCTCTGAGAAGAAGGCCTACTTTCTCCCTTTCCCAGCTCTGAGGCCTACTTCCTTCCTTCTCCAGCGCTGAGAAGGAAGCCTACTTTCTCCCTTCCCCAGCAGAGAATCGGTTCTGTAGGTCTGAAATATTACTTGGGAAAGAGATAGAAAAAAATTAGTGGGCCAGTTGGTTACCTCATAGTTAGTTCAGGCAATTTCAAGTATCCCGGAAGTTTTCAATATTCTTGTTTTATGATTCTTGCTCAAGTGTTTCTAAGGATACCCTTTGTTTATGGATTTATGCTGTACTTGTGAGTTCTGACTATTCCTGGACTGCTCTGAGAAAGACTTTCTCCCTTCCCCAGCCCTGCAATGGCCTACTTCCTCCCTTCCCCAGCTCTGAGAAGAAGGCCTACTTCCTCCCTTACCCAGCTCTGAGAAGAAGGCCTACTTTCTCCCTTCCCCAGCTTTGAAAAGAAGGCCTACTTTCTCCCTTCCCCAGGTGTAAGAAGGAGGGAGAAGCTAGGCCTTCACCAGTTCTGCAAAGGCCTACTTCCTCCCTTCTCCAGGTGTAAGAAGGCCTACTTTCTCCCTTCCCCAGCTCTGAGAACAAGGCCTACTTTCTCCCTTCCCCAGGTGTAAGAAGGAGGGAGAAGCTAGGCCATCAGTTCTGCAAAGGCCTACTTCCTCCCTTCTCCAGGTGTAAGAAGGCCTACTTTCTCCCTTCCCCAGCTCTGAGAACACGGCCTACTTCCTCCCTTCTCCAGCTCTGAGAAGAAAGCCTACTTTCTCCCTTCCCCTGCAGATAATCAGTTCCATAGGTCCGAGATAATACTTGGGAAAGAGATAGAGAAAATTAATGGGATATGACATGATTTCATGGGTGCTTATTAACAGCCAGTTGTTTACCTTCCAGTTAGTACAGGCAACACTGGCTTTGGAGGGAGAAGCTAGGCCTGAGCTCTTGTGTCAAGTCAGGTCCTGGTTTTGGATTCAAGTATCCTGGAACATTTTGATGTTCTTGTTTTATTATTCTTGTTCAAGTTTTTCTAAGATACCCTTTGTTTATATATTTATGCTGTACTTGTGAGTTTTGGCTATTCCAGGACTGTGTTACCTTTGGATTTTAATGAGAGGACGTGGACTCACCCCTCCACTTTCAAACTTGACGTTGACAAAAATGTTCTTATTGGGGATCTGGAGGGGAGTCCTTCTTCCCAGTCCGTTGGCCAAGGGCTCCAGTTGGACTGGGAAGCTGTATTCCATCCAGGCCTTCCAGCTCAGCTGTTGGCGCCGGGACGCTCTCTCCTCGCAGAAGTGCTGCATTTTGGCACGGAAATCATTCACTTCCGGGTCTCCCAGAGAGTCAAACTCATGCAAACCTGCACAACAACAACAACAACAAAATCCAGATTCTTACCTATACAATAGCTCATCCCCTTAGTCACCTTAGTGGATGCCATTGCAGAAATATTTTTTAATATGTATTTTATGGCATACTAGCTTGGAGTTATTTGAAAAAGTCAGTGTTTTAATTGTACAAAATGCATAAGGTTGTGAGTGAACTACAACTCCCATCATGCCAAGTTAACTCCCCCAAATCAAGCCCCAAATGGCTCTGCGACTATTATGCGAGGAACGCAAAAATACCTATTTTGCCACCCAACTCCCATCCTGCCAGGTTAACCCCCAGATACTCCGTCAGTACTTAAAGTTTATGTTGGGCAAGTTTGATCGAGATGCATCATTGGTGGGGTTCCGTGTGCTCTCTGGCTGTAGAGTAAACTACAACTCCCACTATGGTGGGTCAGTCCCCTTGAACCCCTCTGGTAGGTTCAGTTAGTCATGAGGGTTCTGTGTGCCAAGTTTGGTCCAGAACCATAATCGGTGGAAGTCATAATTTCTCTGGTTGTGGATGAACTACAACTCCCAGAAAGGAAGGTCAGTCCCCACCCCCTCCAAGTAATCAAATTTCGGCGTATCGGGTATGTATGCCTAGTTTGGTCCAGATCCATCGGTGTTTGGATTCACAGTCCTCTCTGGATGTAGGTGTACAACTCCCCCAATTCAAGCCCCAAATGGCTCTGCAACTATTATGTGAGGAACACATAATATTTTGCCACCCAACTCCCATCCTGCCAGGTTAACCCCCAGATACTCTATCAGTACTTAAACTTAGTTATGTTGGGAAAGTTTGCTCTAGATGCATCCTCGGTGGAATTCACTGTGCTTTCTGTCTATAGGGTAAACTACAACTCCCACTATGGTGAGTCGGTTTCCTCAAACCCCTCTAGTAGGTTGAGTGAGTCATGAGAGTTCTGTGTGCAAAGTTTGGTCCAGGTCCATCATCGGTGGAGGTCACAATTTTTCTGGTTGTGGGTGAACTACAACTCCCAAAAAGGAAGGTCAGTCCCCCTCCCCACTCCAAGTAATCAAACTTTGGCATATCAGATATGTGTGCTTAGTTTGGTCCAGATCCATCGGTGTTTGGGTTCACAGTGCTCTCTGGATGTAGGTGAATTACAACTCCCCCAAATAGCCTTGCGACTATTATGCGAGGAACACAAAAATACCTATTTTGCCACCCAAACAATGGGGATGGCGACTATTACGTGAAGAAATACAGCAGTTGGGGCAGAGCAATGGGGATGGCACACTGGCGACTATTATGTGAAGAAATACAGCAGTTGGGGCAGAGCAATGGGGATGGCACACTGGCGACTATTATGTGAAGAAAAACAGCAGATGGGGCAGAACCCTTTCTGGTTGGCTCCATCTATATCTATAGACTAGGGAGGAGGCTGATGGCTCAGAACAAGGCCGCTCACCTTTGCCGATAAGGAGACTAATTTGAGAATTGATCAGCTTCTTGACCCGGTCACCTTCACGGGCCACGAGCCGCAGGACCGGCAAGAAGGGCTGGATGTCGCAGAGGCGCCGCTGCTCGTCCTCCAGCTCTTGCCGCTCGGCTGTCTGGTTGATGCAGGTGAAGACGTACGACTCTGGGTCGCTGAGCATGTGGAAGAAGGGCTCGCACTGGGCATGGTGCCAGACCAGCTGGAGAAAGAGACCGCCCCAAAAATTACTCCATCAATGTTTAACATTTACACAAATGACCAGCCACTGCCAGAAGGGACAGAGAGTTTCATCTATGCTGATGATCGTGCCATCACCGCCCAAGCAAGAGCTTTGAAATGGTTGAACAGAAGCTCTCTGAAGGTTTAGGTGCTCTTACTGCGCATTACAGGGAAAACCAGGTTTCTCCATCAATGTTTAACATTTACACAAATGACCAGCCACTGCCAGGAGGGACAGAGAGTTTCATCTATGCTGACGATCKTGCCATCACCRCCCAAGCRARGAKCTYTGWRATRGTWMAACAGAAGCTCTCTGAAGCTTTAGSTGCTYTTACTGGCTATTRCACWGAAAGCCAGATTGCAMCATCAATGTTTAACATTTACACAAATGACCAGCCACTGCCAGGAGGGACAGAGAGTTTCATCTATGCTGACGATCATGCCATCACCACCCAAGCAAAGATCTCTGTGATAGTACAACAGAAGCTCTCTGAAGCTTTAGCTGCTCTTACTGGCCTTTACACAGAAAGCCAGGTTGCACCATCAATGTTTAACATTTACACAAATGACCAGCCACTGCCAGGAGGGACAGAGAGTTTCATCTATGCTGACGATCGTGCCATCACCACCCAAGCAAAGATCTCTGTGATAGTACAACAGAAGCTCTCTGAAGCTTTAGGTGCTTTTACTGGCTATTGCACTGAAAGCCAGATTGCAACATCAAGGTTTAACATTTACACAAATGACCAGTCACTGCCAGGAGGGACAGAGAGTTTCATCTATGCTGACGATCGTGCTATCACCACCCAAGCAGGAAGCTTTGAAATGGTTGAATAGCAAGCCAGGCCTTGTTCTCCAGAAGCAGATTGATGTATCGCAAGACATAATTCAGTAAACATCAGCAGTTGGGCAACTCCATTGAGACAGACGGGAAAAGGGTCTCTGTACCTGTTTGATGGTGCCCAGAGTTGCATTGCAGGGAATGGAGAGGGTCAAGTAAATGCCAGTGGGCAAGAGGAAGTCCACTTGGATGCTCTGGTTGGCTTCTTTGGACCAAAATTCGACCGGGCAATAAATCCCAGGCAGCATCCTGTTTGGTGATCAGCTACAACCTGCAACCAAACCAAAACAGAGGAGAGAACCTCAGTCAACATCCCTACAAAGTCCACAAAGTAAGCTGCGTGTTTAGAAAGCAAGCTGTGCATTTGTCAGACAAGTTAACATCATTTCTAAACGAAAAACTAAGACTAGACACTTTTTGATAAGCCCACTCCCAAATAGGTTAAAGACAAGATACTCTTTGAAAAGTATTAACATTGAAATGCTTCTTTTGCCCAATTTTTAAAAGGTTAACTTTTGTAAAACTTTAGAGAGTCATTGATATTGTACTCAGAAAAACATCCTTTGGAAGAGAAATCCGATTTGCGAGACATGTTAGTATCCTTTCTAAGCCCACTTCCTAACAGATCAAAGATGAGATACTGTTCGAAAAGTATTCAAACTGAAATGCTTTCTTTGCCCAGTCTTTAAGAGTTAACTTTCTTAAAACTTAAGAAAGTAATAGATATCGTAGTCAGAAAACATCCTTTGGAGGAGAAATCTGATTTGCGAGACATGTTAGCATCCTTTCTAAGCCCACTCCCAAATAGATCAAAGATGAGATACTCTTTCAAAAGTATTCAAACTGAAATGCTTTCTTTGCCCAGTCTTTAATAGGTAAACTTTCTTAAAACTTAAGAAAGTCATAGATATCATAGTCAGAAAAACATCCTTTGGAGGAGAAATCCAATTTGCAAGACAATTTAGCATCCTTTCTAATCCCACTCCCAAATAGATCAAAGATGAAAAGTATTCAAACTGAAATGCTTTCTTTGCCTGGTCTTTAAGAGGTTAACTTTCTTAAAACTTAAGAAAATCATAGATATTGTAGTCAGAAAAACACGCTTCGGAGGAGAAATCCGATTTGCAAGACATGTTAGCATCCTTTCTAAGCCCACTCCCAAATAGATCAAAGATGAAAAGTATTCAAACTTAAATACTTGCTTTGCCCGGTCTTTAAGTGGTTAACTTTCTTAAAACTTAAGAAAGTCATAGTTATCGTAGTTAGAAAAACATCTTTCGGAGGAGAAACCCGATTTGCGAGACCTTTCTAATCCCACTCCCAAATAGATCAAAGATGAGATTCTCTTCGAAAAGTATTCAGATTTAAATACTTTCTTTGCCCGGTCTTTAAGAGGTTAACTTTCTTAAAACTTTAGAAAGTCATAGTTATTGTAGTCAGAAAAACATCCTTCAGAGGATAAATCCAATTTGCGAGACATGTTAGCATCCTTTCTAAGCCCATTCCCAAATAGATCAAAGATGAGATACCCTTTGAAAAGTATTAAAACTCAAATACTTTAAGAGGTTAACTTTCTTAAAACTTTAGAAAGTCATAGTTATTGTAGTCAGAAAAACATGCTTCGGAGGACAAATCCGGTTCCTCTCTGTCCCTAATGCACCTCTCAAGAAAAGACAAATTCAAATCCTTGCCATTATGGACGCTCTGCAGCCATCTTTAAAAAAATCTCCAATATGCCGAAGCCGGAAAAAGAAGAATTGCAGCTCGGAGGATTCTTTTGCGTGTTGTGTTGTCAGCCTTCGCAGCCCGCCTGCCCTTCTTTCTTTCTTATCTGCCTCTGAGTGTGTGACATTTCCTCGCCGCGTAACCGAAAGGGAGCAAAGATTCCCAGAAACGCAAGCCGTGACAGACACTTGTTTTTTCCTGTTGTCGTGTATGTGTGTGTGTGTGTGTCTATCTGCCAATCCTGTGCGGTATCGCTGCGAAGTCCAGATGCGCTGGCCACAAAACCACATGCACAAGTTCCTAGGAAGAAAAGGGAAAGGGAAGCCAAGGAGGCGTCGCAGGAAGAAAGAGGGTGTTTTTGGCAGCCGCTCACAACCGATGCGCACAGGCAGATAGGCGTGCTTTTTGCAAAAAAAGATAAGGTTAGCGCACTGGAACAACGCACAACTGTTCCTTTCCACTGAAGCAGAACCTCATGCCAGTTTCGAGAGTTATTTTTGGACGACAAAGTCAATCAGGTTCGCCTTGTGCTTGTTGGAAATCACAACCTTCCAAGCCTCCACAAATTGTTTGTAAATGCGTTAATTGATAACTTCTGTTGTAAGTACATTTTTAGTGGCATGTCTGTATCCTTGGCTGTTTAATGACATGGTTCTTCAGTTTAACAACTGAGAAACCTGTGTGCCATTTCATTATGAATATCCCTTGTTCAAAGAGTTGACTTCTAACAAGGTCATCCTTTTCTTGGCTAGGTGGTCTTCACATGTTCATGGAGATTCACATTTGCCAAACGGATGTGACATCATTTTTACATATAAAGAAAACACTGGGATGTCTTTGGTGGAGGAAACACTTAAAAGAAACACTGGAATATCTGTGGTGGAGGAAACATTTAAAAAAACACTGGGATGTCTGCGGTGGAGGAAACACATTAAAAAAGAAACACTGGGATGTCTGCGATGGAGGTAACACATAAAAGAAAAATTGGGATGTCTGCGGTGGAAGAAACACATAAAAGAAACACTGGGATATCTGCGGTGGAGGAAACACATAAAAGAAACACTGGGATGTCTGCGGTGGAGGAAACACATAAAAGAAACACTGGGATATCTGCAGTGGAGGAAAAATACAAAAGAAACACTGGGATGTCTGCGGTGGAGGAAACACATTAAAAAAGAAACACTGGGATGTCTGCGATGGAGGTAACACATAAAAGAAAAACTGGGATGTCTGCGGTGGAAGAAACACATAAAAGAAACACTGGGATGTCTGCGGTGGAGGAAACACATAAAAAGAAACACTGGGATGTCTGCGATGGAGGTAACACATAAAAGAAACACTGGGATGTCTGCGGTGGAAGAAACACATAAAAGAAACACTGGGATATCTGCGGTGGAGGAAACACATAAAAGAAACACTGGGATGTCTGCGGTGGAGGAAACACGTAAAAGAAACACTGGGATGTCTGCGGTGGAGGAAACACATAAAAGAAACACTGGGATGTCTGCGGTGGAGGAAACACAAAAAAGAAACACTGGGATGTCTGCGGTGGAGGAAACACATAAAAGAAACACTGGGATGTCTGCGGTGGAGGAAACACATAAAAGAAACACTGGGATGTCTGCGGTGGAGGAAACACATAAAAGAAACACTGGGATGTCTGCGGTGGAGGAAACACATAAAAGAAACACTGGGATGTCTGCGGTGGAGGAAACACATAAAAGAAACACTGGGATGTCTGCGGTGGAGGAAACACAAAAAAGAAACACTGGGATGTCTGCGGTGGAGGAAACACATAAAAGAAACACTGGGATGTCTGTGGTGGAGGAAACACATAAAAGAAACACTGGGATGTCTGTGGTGGAGGAAACACATAAAAGAAACACTGGGATGTCTGCAGTGGAGGAAACACATAAAAGAAACACTGGGATGTCTGCAGTGGAGGAAACACATAAAAGAAACACTGGGGTGACTGCAGTGGAGGAAACATATAAAAAAAGCTGGGATGTGTGCAGTGGAGGCAACACATAAAAGAAACACTGGGATGTCTGTGGTGGAGGAAACACATACTGACTCTAACAGGCTTCGGCCTACTCCCTCTCCTCAGGACGACACTAGCTTTGGCCCACTGACTCTAACAGGCTTCGGCCTACTCACTCTCCTCAGGACGACACTAGCTTTGGCCCACTGACTCTAACAGGCTTCGGCCTACTCACTCTCCTCAGGACGACACTAGCTTTGGCCCACTGACTCTAACAGGCTTCGGCCTACTCACTCTCCTCAGGACGCTAGCTTTGGCCCACTGACTCTAACAGGCTTCGGCCTACTCACTCTCCTCAGGACGACGCTAGCTTTGGCCCACTGACTCTAACAGGCTTCGGCCTACTCACTCGCCTCAGGACGACGCTAGCTTTGGCCCACTGACTCTAACAGGCTTCTATAACACAAATAAACAAATATATAGTAGCTCTCCATGCAGCAGCCTTCACACTGGAGCTTTCTCACACAAGGCTTCTCTCACACAGAGGTTTACCTCATACTCCCTCAGGAAGACACTAGCTTTGGCCCACTGACTCTAACAGGTTTCGGCCTACTCACTCTCCTCAGGACGACGCTAGCTTTGGCCCACTGACTCTAACAGGCTTCGGCCTACCCACTCTCCTCAGGACGACGCTAGCTTTGGCCCACTGACTCTAACAGGCTTCGGCCTACTCACTCTCCTCAGGACGACGCTAGCTTTGGCCCACTTCGTTATCCCAACGAAGAAATCCTATCAGCATATTCTCAGAACACGGAGCCGAGCCCTGGCTTTTGAATGCGGGAGAAAACGATAACCGAGGAACACCGAGTGCTGCCCAAGGGCACGCTGGGACGAAATAAAGAGAGGACATAGATGACCTCAATGGGGGTCAAAATACAGCAACATATTCAAGATATTGAGTCATCAGATCGTATTGGAAGAGACCTCGAAAGGCTATCCAGTCCAACCCCATTCTGTTAGAAGGAGGACACCATCCAATCCCTCCCAACAGATGGCCAGTAAGCTCAGTAAGTACCCAGTTCTGTGCTCTGCTCCCACTTGCTGTGCCAGTCACCAAAGACACCGCCAAACTTTCTGTTTGTCTCGTCTACAATCTTTTGTCTCAACATAACAAAGTACTGATGGAGTATCTGGGGGTTGACCTGGCAGAATGGGAGTTGTAGTTCACCCACAACCAAGTTTGCTCTATAAATCCCTCCAAAGACCTCCAGTATGTTTTGTTGGTTATGGGGCTTCTGTGTGCCAAGATAGTTCCAGGTCCATCGTTGGTGGACTTCAGAGTGCTCTTAAATTGCAGGTGAACTATAAATCCCAGTAGCTACAACTCCTATAAATCATGGCAAATTCTCCCCAAACCTCTTTAGTACGTTCAGTTGCTGATCAAATTCCACACCAATGAGGAGAGAAAGGAACACTGGGATGCCTGTTGCTGATCAATTCCTCTGTCTGCTGTGTACTATAGAAAATAATAGGAAAGGGTGAAGGGAGAGGCAGTGGGCAGGGAAATGCAAATTCCACACCAATGGAGAGAGAAAGGAACACTAGGGTGCCTGTGGTGGAGGAAACACATAACATCTAGGATGGAAGTGTCCCTGTATGAAAGCCTTCACTTGGGCAGTGGGCAGTGTGGTGTTGGTTGGGGACTCTTGGACATGTTAATGGTGCTCATTATAACCTGCAATGTCATTGGAGGGAGGGATGTCCATGGTGGAGGAAACACATACAATCTAGAAAGGAGTTTTCCCCGTAGGAAAGCCTTCACTTGGGTGGTAGGCAGTATGTTGTTGGTGGAGGACATTGACAGGGCTCTTAACCAGCTAACAAAGAACACACAAGGTTGAAGCAATATTTGCCACCTTGGCCACATTTTGGTGTCGGTCTGAATTTCCATCCGTGAAATCTTGGTGTGTTGATTCGATTATAACCAGAGATGTGTGTTGTTTGAATGTGCTTGCTTGAACGGTCACGGTTCAATGCTATGGGTTCATGGGACTGCCCACCACACAAGCAAAGCCCTTCATACGGGGACAATTCCATCCTAGATTGTATGTGTTTCCTCCACCACGGGCATCCCTCCCTCCAATGACATTGCAGGTTATAGTGAGTAGTACTGTAAACATGTCCTCCACAAACACCATACTTCCCACTACCAAGTGAAGGCTTTCATACGGGGACAATTCCATCCTAGATTGTATGTGTTTCCTCCACCACGGGCATCCCTCCCTCCACTGACATCGCAGGTTATAGTGAGTAGTACTATAAACATGTCCTCCACAAACACCATACTTCCCACTACCAAGTGAAGGCTTTCATATGGGGACAATTCCATCCTAGATTGTATGTGTTTCCTCCACCACGGGCATCCCTCCCTCCACTGACATTGCAGGTTTTAGTAAGTAGTACTGTAAACATGTCCTCCACAAACTCCACACTGCCCACCACCAAGTGAAGGCTTTCATACAGGGACAATTCCATCGTAGATTTATGTGTTTCCTCCACCACGGGCATCCCTCCCTCCACTGACATTGCAGGTTATAGCGACTAGTACTGTAAACATGTCCTCCACAAACACCACACTCCCCACCACCAAGTGAAGGCTTTCATGCGGGGACAATTCCATCCTAGATTGTATGTGTTTCCTCCACCACAGACATCCCAGTGTAGTTTGGTAAGACAGAGGCGGCTCGAGGCCTTGCAAAACTACAACCCCCCTGATTCTGTTGCATTGAGCCTCGGTAGTTCGAGTGGTATCAAACTGAATTAATTCCACGGCGTAGATGCACCCAACGGGGTGAATTTCTCCCTGTCTCAGAATAAAAAAGAGTTCATGACAAAGAAGAAAAGTTGCTGTGAGTTTTCCAGGCTGTCTGGCCATGTTCCAGGAGCAATTCTGTTGACTATTTTTTTATCTCCTCTGTTGTCAAAGCAAGTTAACTGAAAAATGCAAAGCACAAAGCTGCTCGGTTGGGCTACGTCCGAGAAACTAGCTGAGCCTGGGAGTTTGGGCAACAGTTACATGCTTCGGTTCTCTGTGCAGGAGTTTACCAAGACTGTTAGTATTTTCTGCTGTAAGTTTTCCGGCCTGTAATGAAAGGAGGAATTTCCCCAGCATGCAATGGAAAGAGGCTCTTTCTTACGGGCTCCTTCCTTCCTCTTGTCGATTTGGAGAAGTGTTGCATTTTTGAAACAACCCAACACAGAGATACACAAACCCCAAAGGAAGTCAGACCAAGGGGGGGAAAGAGAGAAATAGTATCGCCTCCTCCTCCTCCTTGCAAGGCGACCACAAGTTTCTCGGCGGGAGATGAGTTGCTGCCAATTCCGGGAAACGGGT